AAAACCCCAGAAAATCGGGAGATTTAGTGTCTTCAAAAAATGGTCTGTGAGGAAATGAGTTGCAGTGCAAAGGACCAAAACATGCAAAAACTAAACTCACAGATGTTGCAAAAGCAGGGGAAAAAGTCAAGGAGGAAGACTCAACTTGGAGGGGAAGATATGAGGGACATGGCATGGATACTTAAAAAAAAAAAGAAAAAAATCTTCTGCACAAAACCCAGGACTGCGTCAGCCTCCAGGGCTATCAGTCCTGCCCCAGCACCACCACACACAAACAGGGACTGGCTGCCTGTTCATGGGCCCTGCTATGCCAGCCCTGACACCCAGGCTGCCATCCTGGCCCAGCCTTAGCCTGTCCCGATTCCCCAAGGAGGTGACAGTACCTGGGGTTGTAGCTGCCCCAAAAGCCACCAGCAGCCCAGCCCCTCGCAGGGCGGGTGGGATGGAATGGAATGGGCTGCCAGGCCCTCTCTGCTGCTCCAGGAGGATCCTCTATGGCTCCTGGTGTCTGCCCTGAGGGAGCTGCTAGCCTTGTACTGCCATGCTCTGGCTTCTTCTAGTCAGTTCCCAGTCCTTCTGTTCAACTTTTTCAAGAACAGGCCCAGTGATGGGGGAACTAAAAGTATATTTGTAAATCTACAGATAACCCCAGGCTAGGGAGGCCTCTGAACTCTAGATCAGAATGTAAATTCTAAATAGAAAAATACAGGTAGCTACATGCAATAAGACACACCCTGCATGGCACAAATATGGAAATATGTTGCAATTATTCGATTTCATTTTGCATTTATAGCATTGTCTGGAATACTTTATCATCAAGAAGTAGACAAACAGGATTATTGACAGGATAGTAAGGAATATAGTAGGTTTAGAAACATGACCTATATGAAGGAATGATAGAACACAGTTGCTTAGCTTAGTTAAGACTGCAACTGTTTTAAGCTGTAAAAAAGAACAATAATCAATAGTTTTGATCACATCATTTTTGAAAAATGATGTCATCTAGCAGCTTAGAGGACTGGCAACTTTTCAACCCTGTAGAATATTAATAAATGTGTCTCTTTTATATACTAAAACCAGTTAATGTATTAAAAGTATCACCAACAAGTGTACATCCACAATTATAAATATAATCCTAAGAACAGACATGCAAAATCCTGTATGCCCTGAGGCTAGAGAAATTAAGTAATTTTTATTACTTACTATTAATTAGAATGTCTTGTGCTCTGATTCAAATAAACATATAGGAAAGAAAGTCACTTTTAAATCACTGTATATTGCAGATTTTTTTCCTGGCTCTTTTTCAGAGACCCCTGCATGTTCCTATTAATTTAAACACAGCAAGGCTTGGCAGGCATTTTTTTCACTGTTACAGGCACTCCCTCTAGCGACAGCCACAGTTTCTCATTTAGTACATATGATGTCAAGCACTGAAAGGCTCCAAATTCTTTAATTTTTGTGGTGCTTTCTGAAAAAAATAACATTATTATCTCTGCCAGATTTGATGTGGTTTCTCACTTATCCTTTCACTGCTTTTATGGTTTATACACAAATCAGATAAACCAGAACATGTTCTAACAAAGAAGCAATTAAGTCTAATTAGTGTTCCACATAGATCACCAGGTATCAACAGCCACATCTAGGAACATCTGCATGAGGAAATGTTTAAACTGGGAAAAAAAAATCAGTAAAGAGTAGATTAAAAGACTAGGTGGGTTTTTTTTTTCTGACTAATCCACGTGTTTTGCCATACTAGATGCTTGGAAGATATGCCAATTCCTACCTGTTTCTATTTCAGTATTGCAAATAATTTCTGGCCTCTCAGAAAAAAATACATTAGACACACTGCTTTGGCACAGCATCATTTATCAAGTGTTTGAACAGCTATATGAAATAATTTTATTCTAGGTTCTTGAAGATTCATGTTCGTATAAAAAAATTGTCTTCTATTTCAAGGTAGTTTTGGAGTTTTATGGCTATGGGATATGGAGGAACTCTTGTGCTTTTCCTTACTGTAAGAAAAATCCATGAAAAACTGTGAAAATTGACATACCCAGTAGGCTGCAGGATAAAGAGGAGGTACTGAGGCTGTCAATTCTAAGAGTGGTCAGAGAGAAGAGCAAGATGAAACTATCTCTTGGCCTTAAGCAATTAGTTTAGGTAAGAATGATGAGAGCTGTTTTCAGGCAGTATATTTGAGTACAGAAAGAGTTATTGAATCACTGAGTCACAGAATCATTGAGATGGGAAGGGACCCTGGAAACCATCTGCCCAAGCCCCTGATCAAGCAGGAACACCCAGAGCTGGTTGCCCAGAACTGTGCTCAGACGGCTTTTGATTATTCCAAGGATGCAGATCCACAGCTTCTTCAGGCACCCTGTGCCAGTGTTTGGTCACTCTCAAAACTGAAAAGAGTTTCCTGATGATGACACAAAGTCCTGTTCCGTTTGTGCCCATTGCCTCTTGCCCCGTCACTGGACACTCTCCCTTCAAGTATTTACACACAATGAGGAGACCCTCCAAGCCTTCTCTTCCCCAGGCTAGACAGCCCAACTTTCTCAGCTTTTCCTCAGTGGAGAAATTAATTATCTTGGTGTCCCTTATCATGTCAGTAGTTACCTCAGCAGCCATGGGTGCATATGGACTTTTGAACTTACGTCTCTCTTTGTATATTTTTTTCCCTCAGGCTTACATTCCCTGCCTCTTCATCTAATGTCAGCTTTCTAGCCATCTTTGACTTCATTCTGCTCTGTCTGCCTCTCTTGCATGGGCATCCAGGCTTAGAAATAACCTCTAGCAAAAATGAATTTGCCCTCATAATTCAGACTTCAGACAGATCTTGCACTTTTCTTTGACTTGGGTCATGGCACATACTTCCTTTAATAAGGAGACCAGCATGTTTAAGAGAAGAGTTTGACTGTTTATTACAACAATCATAAATAAAAAATGGCTTTCAAGCTCACTGACTTAGGTGACAATTCATCTACCACATGGTGCTTCTCCTCTTTTATGCATTTATGATAGCTGTTCATAAAAGAACTCATTTTCTGAGTGCCATGAAAGATGAATCTGTAGGACAGTTATTTATTTTGTGTTGTCTTTTTTTTTTTTTTGATAGCCTTGTGAAAGAAATAGCGAAACAATTTCCTGAAAGCTACGTGAATAATGACTTGTCATGGAGGACAAGTAGCACAGCATGAAATGGTATCCTTGGTGACAAATACAAAAATTTTAAAAAATTGAATTTAAGCTTAAAAAAAAGTTATAGTCCTTCTGGATTTTCTACCCTTAAGGTATGTGTCCTCAGACTTAATACACATTTATTTATATATATGCAGTAATGTAATGCCTCAGAATAATCTTTCTTTTTTTCTTTTTAAGGTTTTAGCCAAGATCTGTATTGGTATTATATATTTGTATTAGTCAAGGGGCACAAAAGCATTAATCAAGCAGCACTAACCTGAAGTAGAAAGACCATGCTGGCCTCTCTAAATGTAAGCACTGTCATGTTACTGTCTAACACAGCACTTCAGATAAAAGAATGCTGGGATATATGTTTTCAAATTCATCTAATAAAATAAAAGGGTTCTTTTCTTATAAAGTTAAACAACTTCTTAATAATTACGTCTAGTATAGTGGTTTGTTTTGCACCGTTAAATAATTTCTCATCAGCCTCATTCCAAACGGAAGATGTATTGTAGCAATCTTATGCACATATTTAACGTCCTTATGACAAAAGTAAACAAACAAACAAACAAACAAATCACAATACTGTTTAGCTTCAAAATGACAATTCCAAAAATACGACTCTGACAAATGTAGCGGGTACATCAGTATAAACTACTAGGAAGAATAAAATGAATGTGTATGCATGCTCTTTGAAGGAAGAATCAGAACAGTTTTTTTGAAGGACAGATGTTCCTTATATGTTTTGAAAACCTTCTGAAGCTGTCAACAGAATTCTAGATACAGTTTATTTAGATTTTCAATCTGCCTTTAGCACAGTCTTCAGCAAAGGCCTTTAAATTATGCAAAACCATAGAGTAGTAATAAAGTACTTTTTACACACTCAGAAGTAAGCTTCCAGAAATCATTGCTAGGAGGTCAGGAAGGCACACAGAATTATACAAACTGAGGGTCTACAGGCCTGTAAACAGACACCAAAGGAAACAGCCTTCTTACAAATGAGCTCTGATGTGACAAATGTAGATGCCAGAAGAAACTACAGAGGGTTAGACCATAGTATGTAGCCAGGTTCATGTGCTCTCTCTCAATATCCTGCTGTCACTGACGAACACAGTGTGCTGGGCCAAATGGACTACCAGGGCAGTGCATTTATCTTTGGCTGGAGTGCTCACCTATAGGTGATCAAACATTCCAGTGACTGTTGGCCTATTGCAAGCTCTGCCGAAGTTTCAGAGGCCCAGGAGACATTTCCTGTAATCGGTCACAGCACTCTTTATCCCTTTTCTCTCTTCAAGGCCAGTCAGAGCAGCGGTGTGTAATACCGGGTCGTTTTTACTGCACACAAGGGTAATGGATACAACATTTGGGAGCAGGGAAATGCGTGGCTTAAGGAACAGGAAGAAGCCAAGAACCAGGAAGGGAGATGCCTCCTTTTAAGAAACAGCTGCTCTCGGTAGCTCAATGCCTTTCCCCACGCAGCCTTTCAGCCGTCTGCTCGGGAGCGGAACAGACTCGCCGACTTTACCAGTGCAACAGCTTTTGTTTCTACTCTTCACAGTCATTTAGCTGACACGTTTGTAAACGCCAATGTGTATTTTGTAAAAACTCAGCCTTTCACAAAACAACGTTCATAAACACCAGGTCACTTGCGGAACCCCCCACCAGCGCTCTCCGCAGGCCCAGCGGCCTCCCAGCAAGGCGGGACCTGTCCGGCCCTCGCCGCGCTGCCGCCGCAAGGCCTCTCGGGAGTTGAAGTCCCACACTCTGCGTTTTCCATGGCGGGCTCGCGGCTTGTGGACTCGGTGTCCCATGGAGCGCTGCGGGGGGCCCGGCGCCCGGCCCGCGGCCCCGGCAGCTGGCGGCAGGGCGGCTAGTTCAAGTTGCCATAGCGGCGAGGTGAGGCGGGCGGAAGGTCCGCGGGGACGGGGCGGTCTCGCCTCGGAGCGCTGTGCGGTGCGGGCTGGGGGTGCGGGCAGGGCTGCGGCCAGGGCGGTGTGCGGGAGGTGGCTGTCCGGCTTGGAGCGCCGCGGGCGGGCGCAGATGGCAGCGGCGGCGGGAGGCGCGGGGCGCCTCGGGGCGCTCCGGAGGCCCGGCCGGCGGCGTGCCCGGCGCCCTTCTGGGCTCCTGTCTGGGCCAAAGAACCAGGAGACTCAGAGTTGGAGTCGGGTGTTAGTGAAGTTCCCTCCGGGAGGATTCCCCGAGGGCATTACTTGCTTATTACAGTGCGAAGGAACCGTTTTCTGTGTTGTGCTGCTGAAGAGTGCTGGGAGCACGGTGTGACAAATTGATAATAAAATGGGGTACTGATCCCTGAAGGCACGATGGTGAAATATCACCATATGGGATCACCTTCCTATCTTCTAGACTCGAATATAAACACTGAAGGAAAGGGCCTTTCAGGTGTCAGGTTGTTCCTTTCTGAAATGATTATATTGTTGTTTTCGTCGTGCTCAGTCTTAGCTATAAGGGTTCAACCATTCCTTTAAGTTAGTTACCTAGTGATAGATTAGTCTGTGTGGAGCTGAACAAATAAAACACTTGAGGAATAATCAGGTTGAGTACGCTGTTTTTATCCTTTGTTTACTTGAGCTGAAGAGCTTGATGTTGAGGTTGTCAGCTCTACTTCTTACCTGGCAGACTTTTTAAAAAGTCCTCAGTGAAGCTGAAATACTCTGCTTCCTACAGGAAAGGAAAATACCGAGTATTGATGCTTTTCATCAGTTCAGCAAAGATTATGATCTGCTTGGGTAGAACTAAAAACCAGTAAGAACCAAATGACTCTTACTGTCAAGTAGGTGATATGTGCTGAAATTAGTGTAGCTTTTTGGAAAAAGTGATTAGCTTTTTGTTTATTTGTTTCAGTTGATAGGCAGATGTGCATATGGAACATTTCTACAAATTTCTACTTCTTTGTGATTTTTTAAATCTAAAATGAAACTTGCGCAGTTCCTTTAAAAATGAGGATATTGCCTTATGTGAAACAACTTCTTCACCTTAAAAGTACTTGTGGTTCCTTTTAGGTTGCTCATGAGAACAAAGAGGAATGCTTAACCATAAATAGTAAGTTTTCTTCAGACAAAATGTACTCCTTATCCTGTGCTTTCTTTTATTTTTACTTTGATTACTGAACTTTCTTCTGTGCTTTGGCTAGTATATATCTTAGTGGGCCTATTTTTGGACAGCTGAAAATAAAGCCATTAATCTTTCCTGCTGTAAATCTTTATTTCCCTTTTTTCCTCCAGTCTTTTCTTTTCAGTAGTTGGGGCTTTTATGGTTGGGTCTACTTCTTTATTGGGTTTTGTTTTTTTTTTTTTTTTTTAACCAAATTACAGTAAAGCCAATATTATTCCATGTTATTATTTATGCCAGTGTTTTATTTATTTTTCTTTGTCTTTGAAAATATCCCATAATTTCTGTTTCCCAGTGTTTAGTGTTTATTCTTGTTCAGTCTCATTAAGACTTCATTGCAGCTGACTAGAGTGAGGCACTGGAGTAATGAATTCTGATACTGTTGGTAAAAATGTGCTTTAGTGAGGTGAGGTAAGAAGAGGCAAGATGAGGTAAATTCACCAGTTCAGTAAAAGAAGGAATACTGATATACTTGAGCACAGACTGAGCACATTGATTTGCTGTTTCTTTCATGTTTGAAAGGTTTTTATCCAAGTCTGGGGGGCACAAATTTGCAACCTTTTGAAAATTAAAGACTTGGAAAAACATCAAGTTGCCTCCATATAAAATAGAAGATTTGAATCCATCCATGGTTTCTTTTGGAAATTTCAGCTCTCATGGCTAGAAGAATGTCATCTTTACTGTGACTTTTTTTGTTGACTGCAAGGGTTTAAGAGTTTGCTAGTCTATTTCTTCTTTCACCAAGTCATTCCATGACCTTAAGGCAAACTGCTGCAGTGTGTAATTTAAGAAAAAAATTTGATCTAACCTACCTTTTGAGGGTTGTTATTTTAATCAGTTACTATGTGATTTTACTATACTAGGCACAGCTGTCTGTAGTTTTTAATAATTTCACCCATCTGATGATTGTTGGCCTATTTTCCCTCTATCTTGCTGTCCTTGAGATTCAGCAATCCCCATTCTGAAGACAGCTTAGTGAGTAGTGTGAGATAAAACACCAGGAAGATTGATAAAACATTGATGTATCCACTCTGTGTTTGGGGAGAATAATTTGATTTGGGCTGTGATTTGATCATGGGTACTGAACATTTGGAAACAGTGAGATTGCATATTTTGATTTAATTTGCTCCTAAGAGGTTCTGCCTTCTGCATCTTGACCCTGCTTCATAGTGTGGACAAAGGTAATAACTGAGGAGCAGCTGGAAGATCTGCTTCAAAAGTACCTCCTGCTGACCCAAACCAGAAGGGCAAATGTCATCTGAGTTTATGAAGTTACTTTGGGAATATTGTGCAAGACTGTTCAGCTACAGACAGGGATTAACACACATTAATTTTTCTGGTCTTCCTGCCTAGGCTTCAAGACACTGATGGCAGATTCATCCAGTGATTCAGACAACTTATTTACGGCTCGGGTTGGAAGGCGGCCTTTGAGAGCATCCCACAGCAGAGCTCAGAACTATGGTGCTGAAGAAGTTACAGAGAAGATCCATACTTTAGCAAGCACTTTGCAGGTTGTTTACAAAATACAGCTTTAAAGTATTTGTAGTGCCTGCATTTCTGTAACACTGGATCAGATTTTCATTTCTAAAGTTGTGGAGTGTACTGTACAGATGGGAAACATTGCTTTCTGTGGAAACCAAAGATGGTTTGGAAAATAATTCATACTGCTTTTGAGCTGAAAGTGTGTGGCTTGTTGCACTTTTATACAGCTGCTGTTTCAGACAGTAATAGAATGTTGTTAGAAACAATGATGTGTTGGGGAATACTATTTATAAAGTTAGCAAAATGAGTAAGGGCAAATCAGCTTTGTTAGATTCTCACAAAAGGCATGAAATTTTCTAGCAGAAAGTTTCAGACTTGTCTTGGTTGTCTTTGTCCTGTGTAAAATTTCCAAATTTCTGATAAATATGTAAGTGGTCAATTCCTTCGGGAGACAGCTTACATTTCAAATGTTTTCTAGATGTGAAAAAGCACTGTGAGAAGCATTATTTCTAAACTTGTAAGAGAGCAAGAAAAAGTGGAGAGTACAGAGGGAATATCTGTTTTGCAAATGTGAGGAGACATTTAGCTATCCTGACACCATTAGTGTTGGAGAATTTATTCCCATTCTTCTTTAGTTGACAGTTCTGAATACCTGGAGTGGGTGGGTGTATGTTTTATTACTTATTGTTTGGCTAGCCTTTTTTTTTTTTTTTCCTTTTAATATATGAGAAGAGAAAAATCGATATAGAATGGTAAATTTGAAATTCAAAACTTCTTATCTGGAAAATAAACATCAATCTAGGAAATAATATAATAAGAAGAATACAGTCTGGCTGCTTTTTAAAAGGGATTCTTTGGTATTCTGCTTCTGTCAAACCTCTTTCTAGCTGCTCTTCTGAAATTCTGATTTTAAACTACTTGCTTTTTGTGGACTGCTTTTCAGCAGATTTTCCATCTGATCCAGGTGTTTATCTGGCCAGAAAATACTCATGCAGTGACCTTACCTAGTGTGTTCACCTTCAAAAACTTGTTATTTCTCAGATTAACTATTCTGTTCTACAAGCAGGTAATGTTAAGATTGTTGGATTAAAAAGTTTTTTCTACAGAATGGCTGAAACTTAAAAAAACTTTTTATTTGATGGTGAGGCCTTATTGTTGTACTGAAATTACAGAATTTGGTTGTTTTTTTTTCTTCTTCACTTTCCTCCCTTTAGCCATCCCTTCAGATTCTGATTACTTGAATAGGATTTTGAATGCTTAGACCCTTTAGAAAGCATTTGTGTTTCAATTTAATCTTGGAAATCAATAAGAATAAAGACAACAGTGATGTTTAATTAGAGGAGGTTTCTGTTTTGACTTTTTATCTAAAACTTTTTTATTTAAGGATACCAACAGAAATCTAAGACACGTTGACCATTTGCTAGGACAATACAGAGAATACAACAAGGAACAAACCAAAGCAATAACAACTGTGAGCAACTTTCAATTTATCTTTACTTTTTTGGTCTTTTCCATTACTAGAATTCATAGCTTGGTATTGGTAAAAAAAACTTGGTATCAATGGACAGTATAAGGAGTTAAGTAGCTGTGAACAGAATCTTTTAATATTTATTTGAGCAAGCTAAATCATAATATAGTAATATGTTGTGTAGTGAAATTCTGACAGGTTTTGTAGGCTCATTACTTCTCTGGTTTATAAGCACCCAGTAGATTATGTTATAGTACTATGCAAAGTACAAGATGTGTAGCTGAACTAGAATATTAGGGAACAGGTTTCTTTTGCAGGAAGAAGTGGTAAGATAAAAGCTGAATTACAGCAGGGAATGAGATTGTGATCATAGTGGTGTAGCTTTTTTTCCTGTCACTCACCAACAGTTCTGGATCTGTTGACCAGCTTGCTCTAAATTGCAGAAAGGATGAAAATTCTAAAATTAGTCTTCTCATTTTAGAAACTCAAAACTCAAACTTCTACAAACTTGAAAACAGGTGTCTTAGAGAAAACAAAACAAATTAGTGCTGCTAGGGCAAGAGAGGTTTACAATTTGGTTACAAACGAGCTGCAGCAGGTGCTGCCTTAAAACAGATACATATGAAATGAATATTTTACATGTGACGGTAGAGAGAGTGGAGAAGCAAATGTGTAGAAAAGAAAACTTGTTTTCTTCAGAGAAAGAGATCCAACACCATATAATTCTGCAGGAGTAAAACATCAATTTAACCATTGTATACAAGCTTCTCTTAGAAAAAGGAAAACCTTTAGAAACTGATATTTTGTGGATTGCCAAATGAAGGTGTAACAAGGCAAGTGGCCAAGAACCAAAGTTAACAAATGCAATTGTAAGAAAAATGAGATGTAAGTTTGAAAAATGAAGAACTAATTTTTGAATATAGCTAGTTCTGTACTCTTAAATTGGGAATGGCTTCCTTTTCCTGGAAGTAAAACTTCTAAAAATAGAGGTTTCTGTAAAGCTGCTTAGGGAAATTTGATAGCCTTGTAAAATTCATTCCAGGTAGGGCTGGTGGAAGAATTCCAGTAAAAAATAATTTCTTGGAAGTTATTTTCTGAATTTTGCAGAACTGTTAATGAGCATTGCTGGCAAATAGGTCTTATTTTGGTTGCAGGAGATAAACTTTTAAGTTTTCATGGTGGTGCACCATGTGGTGCACCACTGTTTTAAGAAACTTGGTATTTGAAGCTGCCAGTGTTGGAAGCATGTTTTGCTATAATTACAGGAATGTGATATATGAGATGTTGAAGAAAAGCTGTTACTAATTCATAGCTGTACTTGGCTTAAAAATAGCTTTTATTCTCTTAATGACTTTTAAATAAATAATATTTTCCATGCTTTTTAAAAAACAAGTCTGTGTTCATATTTCAATAAATTATAACTTTTCTATAGTTGAAAGAAACACTGGAGCAATCTATAGGTCAATTGAGGAGCCAGCGACTAACACGAAGCTCTGGAATGAGAAGTGCATCTCTCTCAAGCTTATATCCCAGTGACCTGGATGGAGAAGGAACATCAGGTAAAATACTTAAAGGGCTTGAATACTCAAGTTTGAGTTATGTCATATAGCTGTGTTATGCAAAGAGGAAATCAAGAAAAATGTGTAGAGATGGTCTTATGTAAAGTCATCATTGATTACTTCAAAGAAACTGAGTTTAGAAATTTGGGAAACCTGCATTAAGGTATGCAGTTGTTTATGTGGTAAATTTTTCCAGCTTTGTGTTTCTGTTAGTATTTTCTGCTGATATCCCAGGAGATCTAAATGAAATGTTGATTCTTTCAGCTGAGGAAATTAATTTTCCACTGCATGACTTGTAGGTACATACAAGTTAAAGCTAAATCCAAAAGATATTGCAGCTTCTGAAGCTTGCTTCACAGAAAAAAGGGAATTTACATTTTAAATGCATGAGATTATGGATGTTTGGAGACAGTGGAAAATAAAAAAACAGAAATTATTTATGACACCCAAAAGAGTAAGTTTTTTTCCTTGTATATCTCACAAAATTCATTATATTTTGGGAAGAGGTATGTTTGGGAGGAGTATTCCTTTGAGAGGTAGTATTTAATGTATTTTAGTAAAAAGCTCTAAACATTTAATTCCTATGTAAAAGCTGTGAAATATGGTAGTTTGAAGCTCTGATAGATTCATGTGGAGGAAAAAGTGGTTGGTTGGGCAGATAAAATTTGAGGAAAAACTACTCCTTGGAGAAAGAATTCCTCTTTCTGGAATACCTATATGTCATGGGTAAGATATGTTTAAAGTGAAGAAGAATCCTTGGAGGAGCTAAGAGTCATATGCATGATATGTAATTCAGTAGTTGTTATGTCTGTAAGGTGACCTAGAAGGATATTGTCAAGAAGAAATAAACCTTTTTTGTGAAGCAAAATGAAAAATTTCCCATACAAAATTTTGTTTTCCTGCTTTTTTTTTTTTTTTTTTTTTTTTGTATCATATCTCCTGCAGGCAACCACCACTTCCTGCCCACTTCTCCTCTCAGGGATTACGGAGTCTCACAGGGCAGTAAACACCGAAGGTCTCGATCTGCAAGTGTTCGTTTTGTCAGTGAGGCAGACAATGTGGAGCAGGTACAGAGAACTCATGGGAGCTGCTGTTCCAAACAGGCAGTATGTTTGCTCTTTGAGAGTCCAAGAGTCTCAAAGACTCTTTGCTTTTACATTAAATGAGGTGATTCTGAAGATGCAGCTAAGAATGCTTTACTTATAATTTGTGCTTTCAATGTTACCTGCTTTTTTCATTCGGCAGTCACCTCTTGTATCTCTCATGAAGTTTCATGCAAACCATTATAGAGAAAAAGATGCAGATGGTAGTGATATCAAAAGTAAAATATGAAAATAATCTCCCTACTTTTTAGGCTGTCTAATGACAAAGAAAAATAATCTCTGAATAGCCTGTTTAGTCTGGAGAGGACTGAGAGGGGATCTCAGTAATGCATATTAATATCTCTAACATGGGTGTCAAGAGGAGGGTGCCAGACTGTTCAGTGGTGCCCAGTCACAGGACAGGGAGCAATGGCCATAAACTAAAACACAAGAATTCCACCTCAGTGTAAGGAAGAGCTTTACAGTGAGTATGGCAGAACACTGGCACAGGCTGCCCAGGGAGGTTATGGAGTCTTCCCTGTCAGAACCCACCTGTCAAGTTCCTGTGTCACCTTTTCTAGGTGACCCTCCCTTGGCAGGGTGTCACAATTGAATCAGGAATGGATGAATGAGTGACACACTCCACATCTCTTCAGGAGGCTAATAATTTTATTAGGAACCCATTCCTTTTTATCAGGAATGGATGAATGAGTGACACACTCCAGATCTCTTCAGGAGGCTAATAATTTTATTAGGAACCCATTCCTTTTTATACACTGTTCAGACACAGGTGGACCTGATTGCTCCTTTAATCAACACACCTCACATGATTGGCTAATTAAGGATACACCCTTTGGTAAACATGGCAAAACAACTGTTCAAAACACCAGCTGCAAGATTGTTTTAATTCTTTCTCTCAGTCTTCTCAAAACTCCCCAGAACAATTCTTGGGATTTCCTCTCTCTGACCAGGTTGTCGGTATCCACAGCAGGGGGCTTGGTTGGGATGACCTCCAGAGGTCCCTTCCAGCCAGTTAACATTCACTTTTGTGCTGAAGTTCAGCGAGGCTGTGAAGGGGATTATTCTGCTTTAGTTAATGGTATAGGGTCTTACTGCTTTTGCTTTTAGTTCAGTGTAGCTTGACATGATTTTGAACTAGGTAGTTCTTAGTTCTTGGTCTGACCTGTGGGTGGGATAATTTGAACCTGTATTTCAGGGAGATGATGGGAGGAGAAGATGTGTGGGTCACAGGTAATTTTCATATCCCTTAACCTGTATCTGCTTGCAGACTTCAGAAAAAGTAAATTAATTACCTTAATGGATAAGATTATAATATTTCTGTTATCCTACAGGTAGAGACGAGATTTCACTACCTGTTTTTGTTTCTTCAGACAGGGTGGCTAGACTTGCTTGAGTGAATCTGTGTAGATTAATATTAAAGAAGCTGATTGTAAGGTATTCATATTGACTTTATTAAATCAGTCTCAGCTTCCATATAAGTTTAAACTTAACTGCAACAAGTTTTCTCAGCTGACTTTTTGGGAAACAATAGAAATTCTAGACTTTTATTTAACCCTGTTTTATTGTCTTTTCAATTTAGTTCTCCCCCCATTCCTTCCTCTCCCAAGGTAAGTGTAGAAAATAATCCTTGGAAGGAAATAAAATTATATGGAAATCTTTCCTCCCAACCATCCAAAATCCTTATTTTAGATTTTAGACTATTTTAGATTATTTCTAGATATTCTATAAATAACACTGGAAATTTTATTCAAGGGAGTTCCTGCAATGCATACAGAGTTCTTCATATTAAGTAACTATGTAGGCAAATAGCATTTTTTTCTGGTTTTGAGGATAATTGCTGGATTATTCCTTATTCTTGCTTTTCAGTGGGTGAATGTGGCCTTTTCATTTTCATTAACTATTTTGTAAGAAGAGTATAGTGCTTTGAGGAATGATGAACTAGAAGTAGCCATTGATCATGATAATAGGTAGAAGTTAGAAATAAAGCTGTACTGCTTAAGTAAAGTTGTGGCTTTTTCTTTTTTCTGCAGCCACTGTCTCTTTATTCCCATTCTGACTTTTTCTGGCTGAAGTAATTTTTCAGCCAAATGGTCTTTTAACACATTTAAGTCCCTCTCCTCCTTAGCACATACATTTTGAAAATACAACGTTATTTCAAAGTCTCTCAGGTCAGGTGGGAATTTATGGTTAATCACACAGGGGAGCTAGTAGTGCCTATGTCTGAATGTTGAATGCAGTCAGCTTGGTTGTGGAAGATCCAGGTTTAAATCTAGGACACAGAACAAAGGAATATTATAAATTAGGGTTTTTCATAGCTATAATCCTGGCCATGGAATTGTTGACAGCAATAGGTTGCATTAGGATGGATTAACTGTCACTTTCTGTCCCATGAAGAATGAATGACCTATTCATTGTTTTATTTGCTCCCTAAAACTTTGATAATAAATTAGGAGCCTGCTGAATGGGGAAAATGGGAGGTTTTTCAGAAAAAAACATCCTTTTTCAGAAAGTACTTTTAAGAAAGTAGATGTGTGGGGTTTTTTTTGTTGGGTTTTTTTTTTTTTTTTTTCCCAAGGTCTGAAAAAAGAGTATGTAAAGTCTTGGGCAAGGTAAAATACCTATTCTTGGTAGTTCCTGAATACATTATACTGTTCTACTTGTTTCATTTCAAATTCCTATGTAATCTATTTATAGTAGCATATCTAGCTGGGCAGAACTTTGTTTTACCAATACTAGTATCTATTAACATGAAATATGTCTCTCCTGAACATTATTTGTTCAGATATTTCAATTTGCTTTGCATTAAGTTAAAGAGGTGGTATAGTGTCTAAGCTCTGAACCACAGAAAAAAAACGTAGTTAGGAAACTTGGTTTAGCAAATAAAGTACTGAAAGTTAAACTACAATGAGCAAGTATTGTGAAGGGTGAATTGAAATAGAAGTGCATTAGCCTCATCCAGTCATCCAGGCTCAACTACAGTTCATGGAGTTGTATTATTTTTTAGATTATTTTTATCTGCTTTATTTTAAAAAGTGTGTATACATGTAGATATGTATTTTTGGAATATCACAGAAAAACTGGTTCCTAAGCCTTGGAATAATTAGTGTGCTTGCATTTACAGCTGCATTCTTTCCACCAGTCTCTTCGGGATCTCAGCAGTGAACAAGTTCGCCTGGGAGATGACATCAGTCGCGAGCTTTCAAGAAGAAATCGGTACAAACAGAGTAAAACTCCATGGGGAGAACAGTGTGGAAAAAAATTCTTAAACTCTTTTATTTCAGAAAATAATTTTGGGGAGAATGAGTGGTTGTGCAACATGTAGATGAAAGCAGGATTATGAATTGCTTGTTTTATGTCATCTTCTGCAGTATTTATAAATGTTAATAACACCTACTGATTCCAATTTGTATAATATATGGGGCTTTCTTCAGCTTTTTCAAATATATGCACAAAAATGACAAGGTCTAGGGAATTTCTTTTATTATAGCTTTGCTTGTAGTTTGTTCTTGTTACTGAGTCCCTTCAGGGCAAGCTCTCTTGCAGGCCATAACGTATATACTTCCTCAGCATGTGGTACTTTTTTCAACAGCAATAACAGGAGTTAGACTGTTAATTCCTAGTTCAAAAGGACTGTGTAGATGTGTCCATAATTTTTTACTTGTTGACCTGATACCTGGCTGATACTTAGATGCTCTGTTTCTTCACTTGAGAAATGGGAATGCTTTTTATCATGAATTTTCCACTTGAGGCTTGTTTCTCATTATGCTATAAAGTATTATGAATAGGCTGTAGAACAAATTGAGGTAGCAAAAAATTTTTGGGGGGGTTGTTGCTGCTTAAAATTATTATGGGTACTACTTAGCTTCTGCACTGTAGAATATTGTCTTACTTGTATTTTTCTGCAAAGGACTGATGCTGAATTAAGAAAGACTCTAGAAGAATTGTCTGAAAAGCTCACTGAGTCCCAAAGACAAGAAACGGTGAGTGTGACTAACATGAAAAGGATTATTTAAATCTGGTATTCTAAACAAGATGTGGGCTTCTAGTTTAAAGTATCTGTTGGTAATTGGTGTGGCATACTGATATGTATATCTGAACATGATCTTATCTGGGCTGCTATAGGTTGTTGAAATGTTACCCTTTGATAATGAAATCAGCAAGACAAGTTTTATATTTCGGTGCTTGTTTTAAGTACAAGTGTTTTACGGGTGCGTGTATTGTGAATTTTTGTGTTTCAAAATTCACAGCCTTGGAGAAAGGTGGTTTTTAACTTTGAACATTGGTTTGAATGCTTATAATTGTTGAAGGTACCTTTGGAAACATACAAGCTTTCCCATGATGATAAATACTATTGTTTCTTCTTCCTCCATCCCTCCCTTCCTGTTCTTTTCAATCCTTATCATCTGTGTAGCAAGATGGAAGGAGTCTCTTTGGGCTGTACTCTTTTCTAAAGGCTTCCTGACAAAATGTAGCAAAGGAGGCAGGACAGCCGTGACAGTCTTTTTTGCCTCCTGTATCTGCTGGAAGCAGATTAACTGCACTCTATGCTACTTAAATCTGAGAGAGAACTGCTATTGAGATCAAAATCAAACAGCATATTGCTGTAGGAACAAGAGAAGTTGAGAATCACCCCAATAATTAGTAGGTGAGAATCCTGTAGGTAGCTCTTGATGCATAAGACTTGAGTGTATGCTTTATCTAAGCATTTACTGTGATACTAGTAGCAAAGCTGACTTTTCAGAGCAGGTGTTATACATGCATATTTTCCTGTAGGTAATTCATCTTGCTCTAAAATTGCGTGAATTGGTGCTAAATGCCAAGGGCTGTAGTGATGTGTTTGTCACTGATAACAATATTGTTGGCATGGACCGCTTGTTGGTATCAGCAGACTTAATAATCCTTGTGTAAATTCAAGTTTCTAGATTAATTTGGAGATTGATTCAAGAGACACTATCTGTACCAGTTATGGTCTTGATAGGGTCCATCAGGGAAAGAAGACTTGCCTTGACAGCCTTTGTAGAAAAATATCATGGGATTGTCTTTGTTAGAATGTTAATTTTGATTTCTCCTAGTAGCCTGGTAGGATAAAGTAAGTTTATCTAATAAAGAATTCTTGATACTTGGAAAATGCTGTGTTTTTCTTGTAGCAGACTTCTCAGTATACTTACTTTTTTCTCTTCCATGTACCAGGAATTAGCAAACTCAGTTTTAACCAAGGTGGTTCTCAAGAAAATAGCTGCTACAGCTGGCTACATTACAACTGTTCAGTGCCATTGCATGAGAGAAACAAATGTTCCTCAATCCTCTGGAATGGAGGCATCCCCTGTCTGTTCATTAATGAAAGAAATAACTAGCTCTTTGACCTCCTACACTACTCAGTGCAATACAACAAGTAGGGTTTCAAGATATGAAATTGAAAGTTACAACTTTTCACCTGAGAGAAGTAAAAAATGAGAGAGGTGAGGTATAACAAGGAAGTCTTCTGTAGAATGTTAATGGTAAGGGCAATATCAGAAGAGTAAGTCTCTTAATTGGGAGGGAACATTATAATGCAATAAAGCTATGAAAACTGAAATATTTACTGATATTCTTTTAGTGAAGGCACAAATGCTGCAGTAAGCTGCAATGGGATGATTTTTATGTGTAGGACTAGTAAGAATTCACCTGGAATATTCTGCTCATTGATGATTACTGATTTTATGAAGAACATCATAAAGCCAGATGGAAAGAAGACTGGAAAGAGGAGAGGGGGGGGAAAAGGAAAAAGGGGAAAAATAAAAAAGGCCACTAATTCAAAGACTTCAAAAAGATAGAAGAATAGCTGTGGTTCAGTTTGCAGAAGAAACAGGTCATTAGGAAGGATCTAGCCATGTATGATAAATGCCCAAAAAGTGGAAGTTTACTGTACAATATGACAGTCATCTAATGATAATTTTGTATAATACAAGTCTAATCACCTGTGAGTTAGGAGCTTCTTTGTCTGGATGTGATCTGTCTGCTTTCTGTACTGAGAAATAATCCCTCTGTGGATTTCTTTTTTGAGACTTGTCCAGTGTTTATTATAATTTGCATATCTTTATGATCTTGTCTTATAGCAAGGGGTTCTCAAAATAGATTATATATTATGTGAGGAGCTGCCACTTTTTTGGTGATGTGGTTTGTTGCGGTTTTTTGGTTATTTTGTGTATATGTGTTTTGGTTGATGTGTTTTGTCTTGGGTTTTTTTGTTTGTTGTTGTAGGGTGTTTATTTGTTTGGGTTTTAAATCTAATTTTTCATCCCTAAGTTTAACTTGGGAGGTTGTTCAGTTTCTTCAGAGTCTTTTCAGAGTGTTACTTTTTGGGCCAAAAAATTCTGACTTAATGCACTATTGTGTCCAGCCAATTCCCCACTGCTTAAAAAGCCTACTGGTAGCAACATTGTGCACTGCTGCTTTGCCAGGACTCTCCAATCCTAGGTGTGGATCCCTTGCCCTTGTTCAAAGCCTACTGATCTCCTATTACCTGATGAGGCTGGCAGAATCAGTGAGATGAGGTAAATGCAAAAAAGGGGAATTTAGTATGGATATTGAAAATAAAAATAACTCTCATGGTATGCATAGCAAAGCATGCATGAGATTAGAGTGCATGTAGAAACTAGGGTCTGTTATTGTACATATTTGACATCCTTTAGCATGTGTATGCATTTAGGAATTTTTCTAATGAGATTGCTTAATTCAGAATTGGTTGTCATTGGTGAAAGTGAGTTGGGTAAGACAAAATACCTTTTTTCTCAAAACTTCCTTGTGCAAAGTTGTTTGGGAACTTTTATCCTTAATGCCTTTAGGCTTGGGAGTGTTTATCACCTCAAGCATTGCCATCCTTGTATTTATATTCTGCTGTATGATTCTTGGCAATAAATTGTCAACTTGAAATCTTGATAATTTCACAGGATGAGCTCATGGTAGAAACATTCTTTTCAGTTCAGTGTCCTTAAGTCCTTTATTTTTTAGAGACATATATCTAAATTCTTACAGTTTGGTATATTTGGTCCTGTTTGAAAATTGCCTGTATGTAGATGTGTGATGATAAAGGTCTAAGTCACTACAGTTCTTCTGAGTCACTAGTTCAGGATTTATTTTTATAAGGGTTTATGATTCTTAGAGCCTTTTCGATGCTGCATTTGAGTACTTTAGGATTCATACATCACAATCAAAGCACAATATTTTATGTCTAAAGAGAGCTTTTCCATGCCAATATAAAAAACAGATGACATTGAAGGTGGTGACTCAGGCATAGTTGGATGCCTGTTTCAAGTCAAGCACTCTTCATGACCTTGTACTTGAGAATTTATGTGCAGTTTTGCTAAAAAGCCTTTCTGGTTCTGCGACACTCTGTATCAGAATCTCTTTTTTACCTAGACATTTTGTGAGATTCCTTTGTTCTTGAAAAGGGTTTGGATGATTGCTAGACAGGCATATAAGCAATTGAAAGAACATTTACTTACTTTATGGTTATATAAGATAGCCCTCTTGGATATTTTGTTGCCATTGCTTGGATAGATGCACATCTCAAATAGCACAAGATGCTGATCTTTATACATAAAAAGCAACTTCATCAGAGCACAGTTTAGTTAAAATTAAGTAGATGCTTGATTGAGATGGTGCTGTTATAAAATGATGGTAGACTGTCTCTGGAAGAAGACGACAATGTCAAGTGAAATGGGTCTTACATGGAGTTACTGTGGTTATGATACCTCAGAGAGCCAGGATTGGCTCCTCAGATAATGAACTGCTCCTCAGAAGATCTGGAATAAGGAATTTTGGTTATGCACGGGTGACTTTTAAAAGGAACACATATTATCATTTGCCACGAGGGAAAAGTTTAACAATATTTAAAGTTGTATCTCTGAAAAAAAGTTTGGTCTTTTGTGATTTTAATACTCCTGTTTCAAGCATGCATTGATGATAAAATGGGTCGTAGCAAGAACAGCAGCAAAAATCTGTTGAAATAGATTTCTATTAGCAGGACTTTTGCACTAGAAATAACAGTGGAAAGCTGAAAAACAGGTCAGAAATTCAATAAGTAGGATGGTGCTTTTTGTACAGTAAGCATCCAGCATCTTCCATGAGATTATATTTAACTGCATGACTTAAATGTCACCCTAGTTTTTCAAAGGACATTCTGTTCTTTGTGTTTAATTGTGGGGGAGGGGAGGAGCTTTTTGATAGCAGCAAAATATATGAAAGCAGATTAAGCTACCTGAAAGCTGTAGTGGAGACACAGCTCTAGTATCATCATTTTTATTCAGATAGTCTGTTGCTAAAAGTGCATGCTTGAAATCACATTCTAATATATTCTGAATGCAGTAATTCAGTGCTAGTATTTCATGTCATTGTGTAGAGCCTCTATAATCTTTGTACTGTCCTTTGGTAAAGCCCTTGTCTACACTAAGCACTAAGATTTTTGATAACATTCAGAAGTCAAGATACATAGTTTCATGGTAGAGGTGTTGTTCTGAGTTAGGGTCATTTGGGCCAAAGGAAGACAAGTATGTTTTTAAGTTTACTCTGCAAGTACTACTTAATAAATTACTGTTTCTCTTTTTTTTTTTTTTAATCCCTACTCTTGTATGCCACAGGCTCTGTGACAATCATGGGAAAGTCATAGAGGCTACAAAAACATGGAACATAATTCTCGTGGGACATTAAAGCCTTGCTGAAGTGCAAAGGTGTTACCAATACCATACCAATATACAAAGTATGGGAAACAAATAGGAGTTATAAGTAGCATCAAAATGTTTGGTGGTTTGTGTTGGTTGTGGGGTTTTAATTTTTTTTTTTTTTTGTTAAAGAGGATTATGTCTGTAGCTGAAATTTCCATGACAAATATGATATATAATCCATCTTTTCTAGTACCTTGTTAGAAATAATGCAACAGTTGTATCCTGGAGTGAGTTGAAGGAAGTCAGAGGCAAGGCAAATCACCTCATAAAGTTACTTTCTTAGTTGTTCTGAGTGAGTGATAATTTGTAATGAAATCTGAACTTCACAGGAATCTAAAGCCTGTCTACTGCTGCCCTCTGTCATGTTATCTGCTGTGCATGCTAGACCCATGACAGTGAAAAAGTTACTGAACTCTCCTTTGCAATGTCATCTTTGGGGGTGATGTTACTTTTGAATCTTCTGTCAAGTCAAAATTGTATGTTTTCTTTCTTAATAGTGCACTATAATTATTGCTCTAAATCAGTGCTTAATAGCACTAAAGCTATTAAAAAAGTGCTTCATTGAAAAAGGTGCATGAGGAGCTGAGGAAGCTTCTGTCTTCAGAAGCACATAGTCAAAACTTTTTCAAAAAATGTTAAAACATTGCTATTTAATTTCTTTATGTTAGATATGTATGGGGAAAAAGATGACAGCTTATTTCCATGGTTTCAGCAAAGCATAACAAGTTTAATGACTGTTATTTTCTGTTCCTACTACATAGTATCATTGTTTCTGTTAGGTGGAGTATTTTATGAATTCTGAAGTAATGCTAAGCGATGCTTGTCAAAGCAAACATTGTGATGTGGTCTTTTTCTTTTTTTGTACATTAGGTTTTAGTAAGCAAATTTTCTGGATTACGGCTGCAGAGCTTTCATAGCTTCATGAAAAAGTATGGTTTGATGCAGTACCTGGCATCTCCTGATGGTTTTAGGCAAAAAAAAATGCAATATTCCAGACTGTAAGCTGACTGTTCATCTGGCTGCACAAACAAGAAGTGTTTTCTGAGAGATGTATTCTGTTGTAAAGAAAGTGTTTTGTTCATTAAGCCTTGTGAAGCCCAGATCATAAGTGTAGCCTTGATTGTGTTTCTGTTACTACATAAGTTGTGTTGCTTGTGGCAAAATTTTCTATGCGTGCATATGCCTAGTGCTAGTAGAAGTGTGCTTAACAGAGAAAGATGAAAACTTTTCACCTCTACATACATCAAAAGCTAATAGTTGAATGGTGTTTTATTTTTTCCTCTTTTTATTTCTTTCTCTTTCTGTCTAATTATAATTTGGTAATGGATATATTGCTTTCTAGTGTTTTAAAATAATTAGTTTTAAGGTAGGGAGGAAATGATACATAAATGTTTTTCTTACTAATCTTTAACAAAACAAATTTAATTTGCTGCCTCAAGAGGGTGCTGTCTGCTAGCAGCTTGAATTGCAAAAGTGAAGTAATTCACGTCTGCAATTCACTAGGTGTTCTAGTCTGGTTGAGGTTTTATGTTCATAATCCAAGTTGCTTTAATAAACACCTGTTGTTGTTTGTATTAGTTTCTACATGGATTCACAAAATACTGGGAAAAAAGCATAAAGTGATGTAATTATTTTGTGTTTTTACACTCATTTTCATGTATTTAGTTCTTGTTTACTACTTTCTACTCACAGATTTTGGATCATGAAAGAGGCAAACATTGGTCTGTTTTGCAGAAAAACAGAAACCTCTGTCCTTCCAGAGGTTAATCAGGTTTGTGACAGAGAAGCTAAGACTTCCATATTGCAGCTTCACATTAGGCTGCTCTAACCTTGATAATGAGATATTCAACCCTTGAGTAGAGCCACCACTGTAGAGAAAAATATATGCGTACACATAACAGAGAATAGCCAGCAAGATAACAGTTTGGTTCCCTGCCTGAGTACTTCTGGAGTACTGACTGCTATAACTAGTTATTTTCTCTACCATTCTAAATCTCCTTTAATAAAATACAAATTATGTTCTCTTTTTCATTTTGCCCCATAATCTGCTTACATTTTTGCCCTTGATATTTTCACAAATATTAAAAGGCACACTGATTTTCTACAGCATGAGTTTTTTCCTTTTGAAGGTATCAGAACGAGTAGAGAGGAGACTTCAGGAGATAGAAGAAGAAATGCGTGCTGAAAGACAGCTTGTAGAAAGGCGCCAGGACCAGCTGGGCCATGTGTCTCTTCAATTACAGGAGGTATGAAACAAAAGCTTCCCTTGTATTTAGGATTTAATTAGGAATGTGTTGCATTTGTAAACCTGTACCTGTCAAATTGGCAGAAGTGCTCATATCTTGGGCACACGTTTTAACTCAGTCCAGCTCACATTGTTTTTATCAGATAATACCAAGAACAGTCTCTGTCCTTCATTAAATTGTCTTGACAATATTTAGACCTTTTTGGTAACTGCCACAAATCTTCTAACAACCTACCCCCTATGCCCTTCCTGAAAACCTAAGCAAACAAAAGCAAGTCATTAGCTGGGCTTTTTCAATTAAAAGATTTTATTTTCTAAAAGATAAACTTTGCTTGCTCATGCAAATGAACACTTTAATTTAGTTCAACAAGCAATCTAAAGCGCTGTAGTGGCCAGACAACTTTTCACTGCTTTCAGTTTTATTCAACAATACCTGATGAAATAAAAAATACTGTTTAGGAGACAAATAGAAATGTTTAGAATATAAGTAAAAATTTGAGACAGCTATTAGCTTTTTTCTCTCTTGTTTTAGAAAACATATGAAAAATACTTACTTTTTTGATTTTACTTCTGTTTGGAAAAATCTGTGTCGTAACATAGTGTGACTTTTTATTTCACTCCACTTAAGATTTGCAATGTTATCTCTATCCGTGCAATAGGATACTATAATTGAGCAGAAATATGCAATTCCTTGGTTTTTACTCTTAGTGTTTGCAACATAACTTTTTGGAAGGCTTGATACTGTGCAGCGATACTGAGGAACCTTGCTCATGCTACGTATTTCATGTAAAGTTAGAGACTGTTCATGACTGTCATATTTTAGAAGATGATATGCTTTTTTTTAAAATATAGATAAAAAGTAACATTTATCAAAAGGCTTGGAATCCTTCTGTCAGTATTTCAGAAAGACTTATTGTTTCATTTTCTTTCCAGTTCATGCCCTACTGGGTGAAAAGAACTAGAGTACTGAATTTCTGTTTTCATCGCTCTTTAATATGCCTATGTCCACTTCTAGATTCTTCAGTTGTGTCTTCAGGCTGGGGAAGGGATACTTAATGCATTGGTGTGATTGGATAGTGTTATCTGGAGAATGGAACATTCTTATTTTATCCTTTTAAAGGGATGATGTCTTATATTCTCTAAAGATACATTGACGCTGCCATAGTTTCCTTAGAAAGAAAACTTGAACTCAAGTGAATGGGTTCAAATGTAGTTCAAAGAATTTTCATATGATCTTCCATAGATCATATGAATGATCATAGTCTATGTGATCATGAGCCTCCAGGCTGGGTGCCTTTTATTCTTGGTAGCTCATCATTTGAATTTCATGCAAAAAGAAATACTAAGTACATCCTGGACCTTCTATTCCCCTAAGATGTCCAGCTGTGAATTAAGATGGTTTATTAGTTTCTTCTGTAAATTCTACTTCACTTTTGTAAGTTATTTTTCCTGAGGAGCTCCTTTTTAAAATACAGTTTAAGTTTCTGTATTTTAGAAAAAATGTTCTTGAACTGCCTTGTGTACTTTTGCGTAGTCTAGTGAGAATAAAGTAAATAAATATTTTGCTACAATTCGTTATTTGGATGAAACATGTTTCTCTATAATTTTGAGCTTGTTATTTTGTTCCTCTGTTTCTCATCCTTTGTAATTCAAATAGTGAGTTAGATAGACTCTAAACTCTGACAGTGGCCTCAGTCTTGCAGTAATCATTGCACAGACATAATGTTCTATTGAAGTCTACTTCTGTTTACATTAATTTCTCCAAGATGCTTCCCAAGTAACATAACTGGAAAGGAGCGTAGTGTTTGGACTGAGTTTTGAAATCCTGTCATTAATATGGCCTGAATGATTTACAGAGAAATACTACTTAAAGCATTTGTGGCTTTTGAGTGATATAATTTTTTCATTAGTTTGCCTATTACAGATTTTGAATGAAATAGAATTTTACTTTTGCATCTGATCAGTAGTTGCCTCTAATTAAGACATTGTGTGACATTTGTAAAGATTAAATGCTATTTTTTTTCAGTGAAGTGCAGTGCCTGTAACTGACCACTACTTGTCAGTGTTTTACCGTCTTAAGAGAATCACCTTCCTAAATTGCAATTATTAAATTATATATTTACAGGATCTAACACAACATGATACATTTATTTTGGTCTTTCTCTGTCTTTTTGGCCTTTGTCTGTCTTTTCTCTCAGTTTTTTGTATAATGTGCAAAATTCTTATTTGCATTGTAGTATTACATATTACTATAATCATAGACTGATTATGAACCAGGAAGATGTATACATGTATACTGGCCATTAAGAAAGCTTGATGTAAAAAATGTTTTATCTTTAAGTTTTAAATTTGTATTTTTGTTTTGAATCTTTAACCTGTCTGTGCTGTGTGTAGTTGTAGAAAACCTATTTCCTGCACATTTTATGTCTCTTTTACCTTAGTGTGTATTGGTACATTTAATCAGCAATTACTGCAAATTAGAAAATAGCAATTAGCAAACAAATTCATGCAAATCGTATATCTTAATTTTTTTCTATATTCCTGATATAAACATTTTTCTGATTAGAAAGAAGAACAAATATTCTTTTCTTGCCAGGGGTATTGACCTGTATATGTGAATTGCTGTTACAACTGCATTTGTTGTGTAAATGAAAACTGTATTGAGATTCTTCAGTGCTTCCTTTTTTTTTAATATAAAGACACCATCACATCTTACTTTTGTTTGCATTTTTACATCTATTTTTTAAAAAAAGATCAAGTATCATTCTTAAAAACCTTTTCTTTGCATTCTTTTCTGTGCATTGACTGTCCTGGATGGCTTTACAAAGTTCTCTGCTTGGCTTCTTGGACTTTGGTGAAATGTGTCCATGTATTCATGCTTGGCATGCTTTAGGTAAACAGAATCATCATTGTAGAACCTTTTGAATCCACTGGCTGTGGTAAGGCAGTGACTTCAGTTATGTCTTAAGCTAGCAACTTGGGTAGGCCAGGAAGCATTTTTTAACTTTCTCCTAGTGCAACTGTACACTTAGACTCTGTTTGCCTCCCACTGCAAATACTGTAAAACTGCAAGAAGCTGGTGGACAGAGAGTGGGGTAAACTGATGGTCAAAAGTCCTATTGAACATTGTTTTTTGCATATCTTTATCACTGATTTTTTTAGACTAACATAAACTTGATCTGTGCTCTGAGCCACCTGGATATTTTAGTGCATTGTTGATACTTGCTCTTTGGCTCTGTGCTTATGCCATCTGTGGCCAATGGTTTCTGTTTTGATTGTAGTTTGAATCTGACTCTTGCTTGGAACAGGAGCAAGTCTCATACATATCTGGCACTGAAATAGTTAGGTAGTCTCTTTTTAACTGCCTGGCTGTTATGTTTAGGTAGCATTCTTGGAGTCATGCTAATCACTAAAGTAGCAAGTTAGGGAAAGTATTTTCATTCAGATTAGGATGTGGTACATTTTTGCCTTGCTTTAAATTATAGCTTGCGGCTGTTCTGTTTGTATGTTAGTGATAGTATGAAACATTCACTGATCAGTCTCACTTTGAAAGAGCAAGTTTCAGTTTGTGGTCTGTACACAGCTTTCAAAAAGTCTGGTTTTATTTAAAAAGAAAAAACAATACAGCAAAACCAAACTGAGACCAAAACCCAAACCCTATGAAAAGTTAGTAGGCTTAAGTTGCTGTAAATGTTATGATTTGCTCTTGAAAGGTTATCATATGTTGGAAAGATTGAGAACTTGAGTGGTTTCACAATCATCCCCATAGTTTCCCTCATGTATAAGAAAAAATAATCTATGAAGCAGTAAGTTAAAATTTTGAAGTTTTGGGGTTCAATAGATATTCTGTGTATATGGAAGAGGTATGCTCAGTTGGGGTATACCAGTTACATTTGTATTCTAATGCTGTCTTATGCTAGTGAGCTCTTTATAAAGACCTATAAGAATTGCCCTCTTTGGTCAAATCAAAAGTTCATCTAAGCCTGACCACCTAGCAGGCAGTGGAACTTGTAGCTGGTCCTTCCCAAAGCCATGCTGTGAAAACCTCTGTACATGGAAGTTCTCTGTCTCCTGTGGCCTCCTATATTCTGCCTCCTCCAAGGCCTCATCAGCCTCGTCAGTCTCTTCCAGACCAACCTGGACACGAATGCTTTCAGAGGAGGATCTTGGTAGGAGGATCCTGCTGACTGTAGGTTTGTTCCCATTCCTTGGTGCTTCAGCTTCTCTGGGCAGTGTCTGCCTGCTGTTTGCAAGCCATCAGGGAGGAGTCTGTGCTTGAACTGCTGTCCTAAGCATCCTTTTCCTAGTTCCCATTTTTTACATTTGACTTCCTCAACCCTTTCTTTGGGGACAGCAAATGAAATCAAAGAATCAGTTAAATCTTTACATGTGTTGTTTGGTTTTTTCTTTTACCTCTCCCAAGAGAAAGCCTGTATAGTGATCTTTAGTGGAGAAAAAATGAGTGTGGCCCAAAACAACAAGAGAGAATTATTTAAAAAAGAGTACAGAAAGGAGGCAAAACACAGAATTAACTTTTACCTGTATGATTTCTGAATTGTCAGTAACAGCTGACATTTGTCTGGCTGTGCATGACCAGATGTTTCCATTGCCCTATGACATTTTGATTAACTGCTTACCTGGCATCTACTGGTACAATGCATGTTTCACAGTCCAAGCAGTGCACATGTAGTATGTTTCATTTACTGTAACATTACTTCTTTTTTGCAGTATTTTGACTCTGGGGTATCTATCTATATCTCTATATATGAGCTGTTATTTTCCTTAAAATGAAATGGCTATGGGCTATTTTTACAATATGCAGAAAATAAAATGGAAGGTTATATTTATAGTATCAGTATAGTAAAGGATGCATTTCTGTTTGAAATGATTCCTATTTAATAGCCTGAATATCAGTCAATGAAGTTGAAATGGCATATTTATTTCCATGGTTTCTTCTGGGAATTAGGATGTGCTACTGATGCAGAGATATTTTTTTGCTTTTAGCAGGAATAATCTTTGAAAATTTTACTAGTATTCCTGACTCCAGCCCAGCTGTAATATTTTCTTTATGATTCTGACCTCTCTAGCCAAATTTGTGCATGAGAACGTGTGCGTTTGGTACTATGTTAATTATTAATTTAGTGCCAAAAATAAAGTTGACTTAAATTTGACTGTCTATAGCAAAGCTTCTAATTTTGCTAGTAAAACTGATGGTTGACTGCAGTTAATGGACATCACATATTCCAAGTAGGCTGTTCTGAACCGATACTTCTGGTCATTAAAAATAAACAAAGAAAAAAACGTGAACCAAAGCAAAAACCCAATGAACTTGGGTAGTGCAAAACAGTATTAGCTGAAGAGATGATCTTAGACTTTTGTTCATGTTGCTTTTTGGGACTTCTCTCAGGAGCCTTTTTGAGTAAAATGTGTGCAGTGTTGAGTTTTATAGTTGACTGAAATGATAGATTTAAATGTCTACTGAATACTTAGGAAAGTAAGTGTGTTACAGTCTTCTATTATCTGATTAGAGATCAGTATGACTAAGTATAACTCTTTATGTGGCATAATATTTTCAGTGGCATAGTTATGATTAATGTCTTCCATGGTCTCACATTTTAATGTAAGCTGTTCAGGCAGAAGAGTAATCCAAACTGTACTGAAACCCTTAGGTTTTCTGAGGTGAGGTTGTAAGAGGAAGGTAAGTATATAAAGCCATTTATTTTCTCCAGAAAGATGCTTTTAAAGCCAAAACTTCTAAAGCTGAATGCCTGGCTTCACTGAAGTTGATTAATATCTTGTATTCTGTTTTCATACACTGAAATTGCTCTTCAGTGTACAGTGAAGAGAAAATGTTCAAAACTGAATGAAATGGCACAATTTATAGGGGCAGATTTCAAAGAAGATAAGATTTTCCCATAAATGTAAAATGAAAATGCTGCTTGGGAATGACAGACTGGGAAAAAGAAATTTCTTTCTGGAAAGGCTATGCATTTTTGTTGTTCTGTTGTTGATTTAGCAAGTAATTATGAAAGGAATAGATGTACTTATGCTTCAAGATATGGGATGAAAGTAAAGGATTTGTGCTCAGGTACCTATTTAATTGATTTGTGACTAGTGTGAAAAATGCTTGGTCATGTTGTGCAGATAAAGACTGTGATTATAAACAGTTACAGAAATTCATGGCAAATTATCAGTATATGACTACTGATCTCTTTCAGCTGATGTTTCGAAGTGATATTTAAAATGACCCAATGTGATTTTAGATACCTCAGTCTCAGAGGGAATGGGAAAAGTTCCCATGGAATTGTTTTATATTTTGTTCTTGTTGTCAAGGAAGGCCACATCAATGTTGGTAATTATTGATCAGGAAAGTTTCAGTTGATTCAGTTGTAGTTCTATGGCTTTAAGCATCTATCCAGATTCAGAAAAAAATAGCCTTGTCCTTTTTGTGCTTTTGACTTCTCACACAACCTTATGGAAGTGTTTTCTTGACTACAGTCAAGAACTACGTTCAAGACTACAGTCAAGACTACAGTCAACTCAGCATTGAATTTCATAACATGCACACTTTATATTGGAGAATATATTCTTTTTCTCTGATATGTGCATAGCTAGTCTGTAGGGGATCTCTTGAGCCTTTTAGACCTTAATCTAAAGGTGTTTGGGGTCAACTTGAGAGTCTGGAGCTCTATACATCGGAAGGATGTTAGTGCTGCTTTAGACTTTGTGTTTGTCCCTGTTCTCTGCATGGGTGTGTTTATGTATGCATGAACTTATATTTAGCTTTTCATAACAATATACATTGGCTTTACATGGAAGTATTAGATGCAGACAGAAAGCATTTGTCTAGATCTTCTTTCTTAAATTCTTTATATTTAAAAATTTTAAAATTTTTTTATTTTTAAAAATTTTTATTTTTTAAGATTTTTAAAATTCTTTATTTTAACAACCTTGGAATGATGGCTTCTGTAAATTTTGTGATGATGTTTGCAATATATTTTTCTCCTCCAAAGGTTTTAAGGAAGCAAGATGTTAAAGCAGATGAAACAGAAGAGCTCGTGAGAAACAAACTTGTGAAATACGAAAGCGAAAAGCACCAGGTAAGACTTAATTTTTCCTTTTTGTTTGGTTTTAAATGAGCGTATAATGTCATCTGTTACAGTATATGCTTCCTTTTTCTGAGAAACCAGCAGAACAAAACTTTCTTTACTCTTTAAGAATTCAAGGTGTGGGATTTTTTCCTGCATCAGAGGCACTGTGAATATAGCTATGCTCAGCTTGTGTCTTTGCTTCAAAGCTCTTCAGTTATAATATGTTACTTCTAATAACTCTTCCATCCTGCCAGGCAGACAGATTTATAACTTGGGCATAATCCTTGATTTCTTTCTCTACTTTGTCTCTGAATTTGTATGTAGTCTGCTGTTTCTTATTTGCAGCAGCTCAAAGCAGCTTTTCTTCATCCCTGCAACTAGCTCATGCTGGTTATTTTGCACCATAGTTATTATTACTTACTCTTACTGAACTGTTGCCATATTTCACTCTTTCTTTTCATAGAAAGAAAATTTCTTGTATTTCTATTCTAGCAGGATGCAAGGGCTGTATTATGCTTTCCCTGTTTTTTTTTCCACTTGCATCAAGTTTAGCATCTTTCAAAGGTATACCCCTTTATGTTAAGCCTTTATGTAGTGCAGTGTTTTATGTTATGTTGTTCTCTTCGTTCCCTTAATGTTGGTCCTGTTTACTTTGCCCATTTGCCAGGCTTTCAACATCCTCCTTGAGATTGCTATCTCAACAATAACAATTTCTGCTGTCAAAACCTCTATTTATTTCCAAGTGGATCTTTGAACTATTTATGGAAGAAGTCAAAAAATATTTTGAAGCTTTTGCTTTCGTTTCTTTTTTTTTCTTTTTCATGATCATCGGTTTGATGACTATTTCTGATTACACATTTTGAATATTATGTTTTTAGGAAAACTTTCAGTTTTATTAAATTTAGGGCACTTCAATTTTTTTTAGTCATCTTGTTTCCAGAATAATTCAAATACATCATCTTGCACAACACAGAAACCCCACAGATTTTACCTATTACAGTTCTAACAATGCGTGTCATCTTTAACACTTCTAGGAATAAACTGTTTACCAAAGGTGACCTAAAATATGAAGTCATTATTAATTTTGAGTTTGAAAGTATGTTTCAAATCCAGGGACAATATTTTTGAAACTTTGTTAAAACTTATCTTCCATTTTTTTACTTTAAACCCAGTAAAAATTTACTTTTGTGATTTTTCTTTTGTTTTGGGTGATATGAATTATTTTATATCTTTATGAATAAATTTATGTATTTATGGAAAAATTATAGACTGTAAGTAAAATTCCCTTTATGTAATTTAAATTTAAATAAATATTGCAGGGATTTAGTAAAAATGAAGGTTTGCTTAAAATTTTGGACAGATAAAAATACCATGTATATTATACCACATTTTAGATAGATGCTTATATGGATGAATTTATGTCAAAATTAAATGTTAAAATACACTTTTATATTATGATGCCTACATTGCTTTTCTTTTTTCATCATCCTCTGAAATGCAAGCTTGAGCAGGAATTGGAGCAGTCCCGGAAAAAGTTGAGTGAATCTGAAGGCAGTAGAGAAGCTCTTTTGCATCAGGTAACTGCTTTAGTGTGGTAAAAATCCTAAGGTTTTCATATTAGGTTGTGTCTGAGTTTTTTTTGTTTAATATTCTTATCTCATACTCTGATAAAATGGTTTTATGAAGGAGGGCATGAAATATAGGAAGACAGGTTTAAGTGTGTATAATATGTGGACTGAGCTCGTTATACTTTTCTGCTTTCCAAACGTGTATGTGCTCATATGTATTAATTATAGTAGTGATAGTAATGGTATGTTTTCAGTACATAAACACATTTTGTGAAATTTCCTTTCATAATATGCTTTAGAACTACTCCTATATTAGTGATCATTGTTCTGCAAAGCATGTGCTGTAATTGGTGAAATCAGATAAATCAATGACCTAGAGGTATTTGGTTCATTGTAACATGCAATAAAAGTAAATAATTACCTGAAAAAGTATCTAAAGTGTGCTTTAAACAATAGCTATTGCTGCATGTATGATTAAACTTAAAATTTGTAGGAATTTGGATTATAGCTTCCTTTCTCCTAAATATCTTTCCTTTGGAGGGGCTGGATAAAAAGACTGAAATAACTAGGGAAGGGGCAGTTGGCATTCTCATCTTTTAGCATTATTTGTTTGTCTTGTGTATCTAGCAGAATACTAGTTTTGAGTTAGCTATATTACTGTTTTGAATTTAAATTATTGTGAATGACATATAGAGTAATATGAATTAGAGGTATTTTTCTTCAATTCAACTTCAGCACGTTGGATTTTCACTATTTTCCTACATGTTGTCATCTTTTTAAGTCTATATGATATATGATAGAAAGGAAAAATGTGAAGACTTCTGTGTTTCTTATGAATAAATACATTGTATTTTTAAGAAGCACAATTTAAATAAAACATTCTGTATATTAAATTTGGATAGACATTTTCACTAACTATGAAAAAAGACAATTGCAACATATAATATGATAGCATTTTGTTTGGTCTAGAGAAATTAATGCTCATCTGTGGTCAACATAAATGAAAAGGTTTCCTTTAATTTTGAATAATCAATTTGTGGCCTGTAATTAGGAAGTAGTTTGTCTTTTTGTTTTCCATCTGCAGTACTCTCAAGATGTATTTATAAATATTTTTTGTGTGTAATATTTTTTTACCATTTAATAGAAGTATGCTATTTTTGTTTTTTGTTCTGTTTTTCATTGAACTTTTGATGCTTGTGCATATATTTTAGATTGAGGATCTTCGTTCTCAGCTTTTGAGAGCAGAAGAAGACCGTGTAGAATTGCAACATCAAATCTCTTATGCTGCTATGCATCGCCAGAGCTATCAGGATGCACAAGATGATGACAGGAGAATTAGAGCAGGTACAGCTAATATTTTGCACTGGAGACCTGCAAGCTAGTTAGTGGGCATGGATATTAATTTTATCTTAGAGTTGCAGTCTAATTCTTCTATTGTTTTGACAAAACCAGCCAATTAATTCCTCAGATTTAAGTTAATACATATTGGCACCTGAATATTAACAGACAAATAGCAATGAAAATTAATTTATGATAAAATATTTTGATTTGCATGGTTAAAACCGATGAGACAATTTCAGCAAACTGAATAGTGTTTTTACAGAAGAAAAACGTGTTTTATTTTTAAGTAATAATTTCCCAGAAAACTGGCATTTCAGTCCATTTGCAGTTTGAATTCTGCCATCTTGAAAATGATAACAAGAGTCATTGATTAGATAGTTTATAAGACTGATGACTTTCTGGTAGAATTTTTAAGCTATGTGTTCCTGAGTGGTTTAGAAAATTTTTCTGTATGATGCAGTCAGAGCTTCTGTTTGCACTATGTTAGAGTTTTAGAGTTAGAATAGTTTTATTTACATGACAAATGCATTAAACAATTTCGAGATATAATTGCATATTAAATTACCGCTTTAGCAAGGTCTTCAATTAATTGCTAGTTATCTATCTGTATTTAAATTTTTCAAACATAATCACATAGGTATTAGAGAAAGTCTTTATCTTTCTCCTTATTAGCATAGCAATGTCTTACTCAAGGTAATAGAGAAATAGTGACTCTATTCTAGAGTCCAGTGTCTATGGGACTATTTAATTGGTTTGGCTAATGACATATTTTCTTAATTCAGAAGCTGAAGTACAAAAATATCTTGGTTTTTAAAATAGGACTCTGACTCCATGTTTTACAAACCTCATACAGAGCACTGGAAATGGGCTTAGCTTCAGAACTGTAATGCAAAATAATAATTTCAATAGTTTTTTCTCCAGTCATGTTAATGTATCTGCTTAAAAGTTAGTTTATTTGGAACAATATGCCTTTCATATTAATAAAAGCATATTTTAACTTTCCTATTGATCTTCTAAATCAAAACAGTTGTAAAAATATGAGGAAAATTTTAATGTACTGTAAGTGTTAAAATACATGCATACATTTGTATAATTTTTGCTGTTGTGTTTCACCTTGCTGTGTTATTCCTGTTTCATCAAAGATATATGGGAAGAAGACAAGTAAAGATTTTTTTTCCTTTTGTCTCCAGTAGTTATTTATGACTTAAGACCTTTGAATTTCTGATTGAGAGAATTTATAGCTTACTCTTATCAAAATCTTTGGTTGTAGTTTCAGGATTCAGACATAAAATTCACAGATAATGTGACTTTCAAATTGGGAGGTATTACTCTGGTGAGATAAAACCTTGGCCTTGAAAGTGATGGCCAAATTTCATTTACACCAGAACTTCCCCACTGTTTCTTCCATCCTATTTTATTTTATTCAGTTTTGCTGCGGCTTTTGTTGTTTTGTTTGGCTTTTTATTTGAGGGGAGCAGCTGTGTGCAGGGGGAAGAGTGGAAACCCCTATAAAATGATGGAAAAGTACTGTTTTATTATTATTAAAATGTTATTAGCTTATGATACAGGTATACAATTTTTCACAGATATTTTGGTGAAAATCAGTAGTTGTAGAATAAACTCAAGTGGAGAAACAAATTGCCAAAAATTAATTGAGATTAAATTAATTTACCATGAGTTGGTATTTCTACTGAATGTGTTGCTCTGTTCTTGCTGTTTTACAGTAGCTGAAAGATATGAGAGAGAGAAGCAAGATCTAGAGAAACATATTTTGGAACTTAAAGCAAAGCTGAGTCATAATGCTGTAATGTCAGAGGTAGAAGAACTGAAGAGATGTATAGAGCGTAAGGACAAGGAGAAAGCACAGCTTGTGATGCACATACAGGTAAGTTGGATTTTGCTGCTTTTTGCTTGGTGGCATTTTTGTTTTAAAATAATTTCTTATCTGTTTAACATTAGGTGATGTATCAGATTAGAGATTGACCTTTAAAACTAAGAGTAACAGTCATGCTTATTATTTATTGTGTGAAGAACTTCGAAAAGTGATTTGAATTTGCCGACTTTTTTCCTCTCCCATGTAATACTAAAAAAGGTATTTGCTGTTGCCCATGATTCCATGGTTTGGATTACTTCTCTTTCCCATGTGCAAAGAAAAGTTGATCTGATTTTATCAGCACTTACTGTTAATAATGGTTTTTGGAACTACTTTTATAAGGTAGTACTTACTTTCTTATTCCCTATTCCATCATTCCTCAGAACTGAAGTTCAACTTTAAAAATTGAAATGCCTTGTTCTATGAGAGAGTGTAGTAGAGTAAAAAAGTAAGTCACAATTTCCCTTTTTTTAGTAATTAAATGCAATATAGTAATATAATCATAAGTATTAGTAGTCTTCTTTATGGTAAGCATATCATAATGTTTAATGTGATTCTTTATGAGAAGGATGAGAGCAGCCTTTTGTACGGGAATTTTAGTTAGAAGACTTTGACCATAAAATGAGATCCAAGTAGGCAGTAGCCTTCTTATTTAAAATGGGGAATTTCTGTGTTTCTTGCTCTTGCCTAGATTTGTCATTGGTAGTAGAATGGCTGAACAGTAACAATTTTCTTCTGTCTGCTGTGACTGTCAGGAGAAAAGTCTTTGCAAAACCATGTGTATTATTTCAGTAGCCAAGGATTTCACTTTTTGTTCAGCTTGTATTTTGGCATTCTGTAAGCAAGGAATTTTGGATGTATTTTCCTAATGAAGGTACTTATCTATGAAATGATATTGCATATCTTTGGAAATTCAAATGCAGGAATTGATTTTTTTGTCTTCATAGATTTACAGGACTATACTCTTCAGTTTACTTCTCTTGCTCCTTTACCTTGTCAGTTCTCTTCTGATTTAAATCAAATTAATACATCGAATTACATTTGGAAAAAAATGGCCTTCTGAAAATATGTTCCTACATGCTTTATGAAATTTGGTTATTGAATAGGTTTAAAAGAACCTAAAGTGTTTCTGTAGAGGGTAAGATGAGCAGAACTCATTTCCTTGTGTCCATCAGCATTTGTATTTTAGCTGGTTAATAAAACCCATGAGTAACTGAAAACATTCTGAGTTTTGGTTTTGTTGTGCCTGGGAAACTAATTATTTTGGTGACAGGAATTAACGGGGTAAGAACCCACATAAACCAAATTATTTTAAACTTCTGCTTGTAGAACATGCTTTCTTAAGGGTCAGAATGATTTTATAATACTAATTTCCTGCCCTGAAAATACTCATGCAATAGTGCTCAGTTGGGGTCATTGTCATTTCTCTGAGTTAGAAATCTTTGACTTCCCTCATTTTCTCAACAGAAAATACTTTGTACTTCTTATCTGCTTCCCACTGCCGTTCTCCTACAGGGGCAGTAACAGGAAAATAGCTAGTGTGTTTTTCTTTTAATGAGACATCAAGGAATGCAAGGATGTGAATTTCTAAACTTGTGTACTAACAAAGCATTTTGTCAAGCCTGTTCTGACAGCTGCTCCTATCAGATAGTCTGATTCCCAGTTGGAAGTGACCAGTCATGTTTGACTTGGGTGTGATTTATCTTTGTTTACTGGGGAGAATCTAACTTGCCTCTGATGTACATGTGATATTAGAAATTTCTTTTGATTTATTAAAATATCATTGTTTGCAACAATTTGAGTTGTGTGTGTTGTACATTTAGCCCCCTACAGTTGCCATAAAATCACAGTGTGGTGTAAAATGGACAGGATGAAAAAGGTTAAAACATATTCTTAAGCTCATGTTTAGAAGTGAGTTCAATCTTAGTTCAATTAGATTTTAAATGTAATATTTATTTCAGCTACTCTAGTTTACATAAGGGAGTGGTTGTGCTATCTTCCAAATGTTTACAATCATCTTAAATTCATTTTTCTGCATGAAGCCAAATAGATATGGGGCTGTTGTGTCTAACTATTAAGATTTAACTATTATGACTAAGAAATAATTAAAGTGCACAAATTACAAAGATGCTATACCCTACTTTCTGTGTAAGTGTTTTTAGACTCTTTAGAGTTTTTTAGACTCTTTTAGCCTGGAAACTTGTTTGATTTACTAATTACTCTTCATTTGGATTTGGTTGTTAGTATTCTTATAGTATTGTCTAGTACAGCAGTCAGCAGTTTGTTAAAATATTTCAGTTTTTCTGAGGGAAAATTATCGATATGCCTAATTAATGTTAGAATTCTTCAGTAATATAAATCTTTCAGTTTGATAAATATTGATTCGTATTCTCACTAAAATTTACTTTTACTTTTTCTTCTACAAATGAAGCTATTAACCAATTAAATGCCAGTAGTGCAAGCCCTTATAAATTAGAAAGAATTTTGGCAACTGCACCCATGTTAACACAGAGATACACATTTATCGCACATAACTAGGAATTCAAAAGTACAGATCAGTCCATTTGGGATTCCTGTTTTGATATAGAAACAGAGTGTGGAGGTACTTTCTCTATCCTCTTGCTTTACAGCGTTGGCTTCATGAAATATTGACTTGCTATTATGCTGTTTTCTACCTGATTTCAACTGTTGGGTCTGTGCTGGCTTAATTCTTTCAAGCAAAGTGCAAACTCTTTGCTAAGGTTTATCTTATTTACACATATTGTAAAAATAAAACATTAAAAGTCACTTTACATTGGTACATCCATGTCAAAATCCAGTTTTCCTCCTCATGCAAATAGTTCGTGTTGATAAATTAGTTGCATCGAGGTAAATAGCTAAAACAAATGTTCCTCTTTTTTATTAGACTGTAAATCAATAAATTGGAGGTTGATTTACTTCTACACGATAAGGGGAATGTTTACAGTTAATTGAATGTTATTTTATGTGTTTAAGATTAGACTCATATTTCATTAAAAAGTTTGTGGGAGCGGTAGTTTTGTTAATGAAGTGTGTACTCTGGGGAAATTATATATAAATAACTATTTTTTAATGGTGTAGTGTTGAGTACTACATCAATTTACTCTGACATCCTCTATGGTCTACAGAAAGACATGAAATAGGAAGTGATAATAGCATGTGTAATCATGACTGAAAAAATGATGACCCATTTTAGAAAATCTGTGGAAGGGTAAATGTAATATCTGATTGTATTTTATGAGGTTATTTTTAACTTCTGCTGTACTCAATTTAAATCTTTGTCTTTAAAGAAGTATGTTAATCTGTTTTCATTGGAAATTTAGCTTGTCTTGATTTAAATTTTGCTAGTTGTAGGTTATGAGCTTGTTTTGGTTATCTTTTTAGTACAGCAAATACTATCTCAACGAGATTGGTACAATTTGCTGCCTCCCAGGAGATGTTGGCCTGGTTTGGACAGAGAAAAAACCCCCAAACTAACAAACTGACAAGGAGAGAGCCCTTACCAACAAACCCAAGTCTCCCTCCTTCCCCCAACCTTGTGGAAGTATCTTTGTCTAAATAGTCATTCTATATCCATCTGTAAAGTTGACCAATCTTTCATAGATAAAATAATTTTCCCTTGTCCATTCTGAATTGCGGTCTGTTTATTTCAGGCTACATCCGCTGTTTTTTTTCAGTCATTCTGAAATCTAATCCTCTTAAAAGTATTTCAATCCCCTGAGGCTTGATAATATGTTTGACTGGCTATAGATCAGGTCTATCAAATTTATCTTTCATAATGAAAAGGCTGAATGGTATGAAAGCAGTCTAAATAGGCCCAAAATGCAGAATACTAATGTGAATTTCTCCATCATGATCTCAGTAAAATACAATTTTGCTAGTGTACCTTCAAAAACTGATTTCTGAGCATGTCCTTTCAGAATGTGTATGGACACTATTATTCCTGAGTTTCTTATGAGACTGTTCAGAGAAATATGATTTGAGAAATACAGAATCTTTTATTTTTAAAATGTGTATTTTCAATTTAATTAATTTTTGAAAGGCTTATATATGCCTCTTACATTTTCAAACATCTTTGCACTTTGTTCTAGAAGCATTTACCAAGCTGCTGTATTCTCTTTGTATTCAATGCTATTAAATATACCTTTATTTAGCACATTGTTTTCATAAAGGCAACCAGCATAAAACTGGGTAACAACTAGCTCATAAACTATAAATTCCAGTTGTTGTGGTGACTGCTGTTTTTTCCTTAACAGTTCTTCCTTTCCTCTCATCTGTTTACATTAATCTCCTTATATCTTACTATTTGACTTATTTCTTATTTGTGTAGTGTGTAATATATAGCCAATGATTGATCTCAAAATACAGAAAAATAACAAGAACAACTAGAGGAGGAACAAATGCAGAAAGACTTGAGTAGTATGTATTCTATGTCTTGTGTTGGAATTCTTTACCCTTGCAGAGGGAGAAATTCTCTGAGCTAACAGGACTTTCCTTGATAGTCAAGAAGATCTTTTATGCTGTTCATATTTAATAAAAATGTGATTTAATGTTGCTTTATGTTATTTGATCAAGTTTCATACTGCATATCTTTAGAGAATGTTTGTATTTTGCTATGATGATTCCAGGTGTTAACATCTGACCTGGAAAACAGGGAGAAGCAGCAGGAAAAAATGCTGGATCAGCTAAAGGAGATACAGAATTGCTACAAGGCATGTGAGAGTGGACGCAGACAAACTGAACTCCAGTCTGCTGAGTTAGCTCAACAGGTTGAAGAGAGTACCAAGGAAGCAGAACGGTATCTCAGTGAGTTCAAGCACTCAGAGGCACTCAGGCTGGAGATTGAGAAAAAAAGAGAAGATTTGAAGGTGAGAGCCCAGGAAACCATCCGCCAATGGAAATTGAAGTGTAAGAAACTGGATCGTGAGGTAGAAAAGCAAAATCAAGCTATCAGTGAACTGATGGACAAGAATAGTCAGGTAAGATTTGTTGATTTTTTTTGGTACCCTTTCCCTTTGTTTTAAAAATTGAGAGAAGGAGTCTATATGCAAACTGACTTAAACTGCTTTCTGCTTTAAGTTCTGGACCTCTTCTGTATAATTTTCAGAACTTTTTCTTTAAAAAATCAAATTGAAAATTGATTGTGTAACATTTCTGGGTTTTTCATTTGTCTTTGTTCAGTATGGCAGACCACTTATTCCTCTTTTCTTTCTCCTCTAGAGTTTCTCAGGAAAAAACATGTTTTTTTTTTTTTGGTTTTGACTTAGAAGAATTATTTGTTCAGTTGCTGACTCTGTTTTAAAGACAAGCGCTCACATCAATGCTAATGTTTATCATCCTCTATCAGAATAATGGTAGAAACCACCATTCCGTTGGCAATGAGTTTGTGGGTCTATTTTCCAGTGGCTGGGTCAAAAGTTGCTTGTTTCTATAGTGGCTGATACAGTGCTTAACTCTATGCTGTGAGCATTTATCTTAACTTACATGCTCTGCTGGTGCAGTCTGTCATATTGTATGGCTTTTGTTTTACAGTGCTATACTCTCTTTTCACGTATTTTCTCGTGGCATCCATCCAGTTTAAGTTACTGAATGTGATGGGCTTGAGAGGGCTCCATCCTCTGTTTTGTTTTGCTCAAAGATTGAGGTTTTCAAGGGCTAAATGGGATGCAGTGGTGGATGTCTATTAATCCTGTGTTGTTTCTCATCCAACGATCTGTTCTGAGATTGGTACATGAATACAAGCATGGTCAAAGCACAGGAGAAGTCACAATGGGGCTATTACTGAGTTGAAATTAATAAACTGTAGCAAAACTAAACTTTGATTCCTGGTGTTGCTATTTCTCTCCTATTGCCTATCATATTCCTTACTTTTTATTATTATTTCCTTTTTCCATGCTCCAACAATTCATTCTATAGTAATCTTGTATTTGTTAGCCCTAGTGCTTGTCTGGGAAAGTAAGATTCTTAAACATGTAAGAAGTTGGTCAGTCTTGTGTAAGAAAATGGAGATTGTAAGGAGAGGAAGAAAACCTGAATCATTTAAAAATCATTGGTGTCTATCAAATGGACAAATAAGAAGCAAAAAGTAGAGACAAATTGTGAATAAGAAGCAGTAGTTCCCAAAAAGGTTCTGGAATCACTCTTCTTGTAAACACATAGGCTGGTCTTTGTAGAGACACTTGATAACACTTTCCATGTTGAAATTTTCTTTGTTATGTAAGATTCTTTAATATGGATTTTACCTCTTTTTATGTGGCACATGCTAAATGCAGTGGTTAAACTTTGGCTTAAGCTCCATTTAAGAAATACTGTCAGTATTTGTTTTTACTTTTAAAGTGGTGACCATCCTGCCAACAGGTTTGAGGTAATTGTCTGGTGAAGAAAGCTTCTTTATTTTAAGATATAGGAGATCAAATTAACTTTGTGTCATTGTGAAGGAGAAAAAAGTACAAACAATGTTTCATGTTCTCAGTATAAAGTTGGAAGCAGTTTACTTATAGGGATATAATCAATCTAGATGCAGCATTTAGTATAAACTTGAGGTAACTAGATGAACATAATTTAACTAGCTTTGAAATGCAGGCAATTAACAATTGAGACAAAAATCTGTAAAAACAATAAAGGAAGAAATGGCAGTTTGTTTACTTTGATTTCTGTTAGAAGACTTCAAAGGGTTGATGGAAAATTTTCAAAATTGGGTTGCAATCATAGCTTGCAATTTTGAGATTTTTGAAATATTGGCAGACAAAAAATATGCTATACAAAGATTGTTTAGGTTTCATTCTTTTGGAGTTACTGGGATAATTTGGTTGAAGTTTTGCCCATGTGGTTGTCCTTAATATTGTTTGACAGTGGAGTTTCTGACATCTTTTGAAACATATGTTCTTTAAATTATGTAATGTAGAAAACATACTCAAAGCAAGTAACTTATAGGTTGTAGTTTGAAATTTTACAGAACTATCCCTATTTAGAAGGCTATATAATTTAAGGACAAGTCCAAGTTTGAGATTGCACATGATCTAAAGTGTGTAAATTTAAAGAAACACTGAGTACATTTGAACTGAGTTCGTAGCAAGCAAAAATTTTATATTTTCACATACATATGTTAATTGTTCCATAGACATTCCTGATGTCTAAGGATATCCTTCCAACAATTGTCTTTAATTACTTCAGAATGGATTTTTTTTTTCTTTCCTAGGCCCTTAAAGAAAAAGATGATCTCAAAAGTCAGCTTCTCTCAGCTATAAATCAAATAGAAAACCTGCGGAAAGAGCTGAATGATGTGCTTACAAAGAGAGCCCAGCAGGAAGAACTCCTTCACTGTAAAGAGGTAAAACTGAATGAAATGGAGTCACACCAGGTATCTCTTGAAGAAGAGATCAAAGAAGTTCAAGGTACTGTAAAAAAATTGGAGAATGAGTTGAAAAAGCAAGTCTTTCTACAAAAGCAAATGCAAGCTGAGAAGGAGCACTTGAAGACAGAACTTGCAAATATTAACTTGTTTCATAAAAAAGACCAAGAACGACTCCTAGAAATGCAAGCAGATGTGAAACATTTAAGTGCTGTACGTGTGGAACTAACAAACAGAATTGCAGAAGAGGAGAAAGCCAAAAAGGAATTACTTAAGAACCTCTCAGACCTCCAGAAACAGCAGGAATCTAGTCATGAAGAGATGATTTCAGCTAACAGGCAGCTGAAGATGGAAAGAGAAGTTCACCAACAGGAGTTGGCAGATCTTAGATCAGAGTTACAAAATGTGAAAATCAAACATGAACAAAATGTTCAAGAGCTCATGAAACTCCTTAAACAAGAAAAAGATGATGGAGAGGCTCAGATTAGAATGCTAAAGGTACTTATTGGAAAGAATTCCAATGTCAGATTTTTCCCCCTCCTCCCACACACCCTACACACAGCCCCTGCTACTGAATGATGAAGGTAATAAAGCATGGGCTTTAAAGCACTTAACACACATATTATTGCAAGCCATTGTAAAAGTTTAAAGTTCAGGGTAAAAGTGTTACAGTACCAGTTTTAGGTCAAAATCTTAGTTCAAAAATAGTAAAATAGATATGATCAAAATAAAAGGAAATTTATGATGCTGTAATGTTTTAATATGGCAGGCAGGTGAAGTCCCAAGTGACTGGGAAGGGGAAGCATTGTACCATACAGTCATCCCAGGACACCATCTTTTAAAAGGGTAGAAAGGAGGACTGTGGGAGCTACTGGCCAGTCAGCCTTCTCTCTTTTCCTGGGAAGATCATGGAACAAAACCTTTTAGAAGCTACACTAAAACCACATGGAGGACAGGGAGGTGATTTGAGACAGTCAGCACAGCTTCACCAAGGGCAAATCGTGTCTGACCGACCCAGTGGCCTTCTCTGATGGCGTGACTGCATCAGGGGACAGGGGAAGGGCTACAGATGTCATTTGTCTGGACTTTTGTGAAGTGTGTGACAGAGTGCCCCACAACATCCTTCTCTCTAAATTGGATAGAGATGGATTTGGTGAGTGGACTGTTAGATAGATAATAAATTGGCTGAATGGTCCCATTCAGAGGGTTGTGGTCAGTGGCTCAGAGTCCAGATGGAGTCCTGATGTACAGGAGTGATGAGTGGTGTTCCTCAGGGATCTGTGTTGGGACTAGTGTTTAGTTATGTAATGTATCATTCATGACTTGATAATAATTCTTAAACAATTGGTAACATGGAAACCTTTAAGTGAAGAAAGCAATAAAACCCCCCCTAGGTGGTTGTTAGTAGAAGGATCATTAAAATCAAATGTTTTGACAGGAGTGCTTAACATTGTAGACCTAATTTTTAGTGTGTACATCGTTATTTAAGTGGTCTATCCAAAAGTGGTTTTTTCTTTAGCAGTGACATTGAAATTAAGAGCTTCCATTTGATATCAAGTGAGAAGAAGGAAAGTGTATTCTGGATGCAAATAAGAAAAAATAAGTTGATTGTGACTGTGTTTTTCTATGAAGCAGCAAATCCTACTGTTAGGACCTTTTTATTTTTACTGATTGTTGAACCTAAACAGAGTATTAAAAAAATTCACTTCCATATTTCATTTACAGTTCCATTACTTCCCCAGAATCATAAATCCTAAATATATTTTTTAAGAGCAGAAGGTTTGAGGGAGATGAATTTTCTAAGATATTAGGGTAGGCAAATTTTTTAGAAGTATACAAAGTGATAATGCACAAGATTCTCTTAATTAAGAGACTATAAGTGAAAAAAATCAGAAAATCACATGCGTCTCTAGGAAGATCTGATGAGAACATGTCATCCTGCAGGCGATTTGGTTACTTTTTGTCTGAACTCATCATTACATTGCATTTGGATTTCAATTTTATGGACATACTTTTCTTCTAAAGTAAGGTAAACTTCACATACATTTTATCTTTTTTCCCCCCCCCCTTTTTTTTTTTAAGTATTTTGTTCTTAGAGTACTGTTTGGGGAAATCCAACAGAAAAAGTTGAGTTTTTTTAACCTATTATATATTTTTTTTTCAAGCTGCTAAGATTTTGTGGCTAGCAACCAGTTGTCTTTTACTGTTACAGTAATAATTGACCTTATTTATGCCTCAGCTGTGTCCAACCTTTGTAACTGTTTTTGGAAAGGAATATACATATCCTGTCCAAAAATAGTTAAAGCTTTAAAAATAAAGGTTGGTTGAGGGAGACTTGAGGAGTGAAGGGGAATTTAATATATTTGTAGAATCCAAAGCCTTAAAATTAAAGAGGATGCATTTATGAGTTACTTTCAGGAAATCAAGGGTAGAGAGTTCTGTATTTGGAGAACTAACTTCTGCACAGATTGTAAAAAGAAGTGACTTTTGATTTTAGTTGTTCTTTCCTCTCTTGCCTACTCTGTATGGTACTTTCTTCTCCACTTTTGCCTGGTTTTCTGTAGTGCAGCACTGGACTGAAAAATAATTTAGTTAAGGATTTTTTGGGGTAGTAGGGAAGGTACCATAAGAATATTGTATGATGGAAGAGAACTGGAGAAAAACAGAATTTTTTGAGATACCAGTATTAAGAAGGATCCTGCTGTTTCATTACTGAAGTTCTGATGCTTAAACTTTTAATTTGGTTTCTATTAGAACATCCTAAATGATTCCCAGCCAATGCTCTATGATGTCTTATTTAGTATTTAAAAGGATTGATACACTAGGCATAGGAAATCAAGTGGTTTGCTTAGTGATCCCCATTTGGCTTTGTGCTCAGAAACTCTGGATCTGTCACCTAATTTTAAAACATTGCTTTAAAAACATGCTTGTTAGAATGATAACATACAAAATTTCCTGCTGCCTGACAGTATGGAAGTATTTGAAGTATTAATCTTTAATCTAAACTTATAGAGGTATGTGTCTATACATATTAAATTGTGTATATGTGTATATTTCTTTTTAAATTAAATTTCTGTTTTCTATACATTTTCCAATTGTGTCATCCCATTTTCCCCGAAGAGTATTAAATGTTAAAATTGGGTTCAATAAAGATCAATTAAAATATAGTCATACCTTGTCATACTGGACATTAATAAGTATTGACTTTCTCTTCTGTGTCTCAAGGGTAATATAGGTGAAGGATTTTTTTCTTGAAATGTCTCCATCTGCATAGATGTTATAATGCAATTACTTTTAGTAGGAACTGAAAAGTTGATTTTTATAAGCATATTCACAGAAAATGTTTTGGGCATTGTAGGCTTGTCTTTGTGGTCTTAAATCTTTGTAGACTGTGAATGCCAAAGTTCTTTCTCAAATTGTTCTTTGGAAGAGTTTTTGTAATCTGTTTAGTGTCTAAATTAGTGTCTATATGTAGTGTCTAAATTAATTCATAAACCTTCTCTCCTTACCCTTCTTCCTCATAGAAGAATTTATATATTTATAGTGTATTTGGGAAATAGAATTTTTGCTTTTCCTCAGAAAGAAATTTACTTCCCAAGTTTATTTTTTTGTTTAACTGCATCCCTCACGTTATCTAATCTGAAACTGGTTTTGAGGAATGTGTGTGTTAATTTGCTTCTTTGTTGTATTTTTAAAAATTTTTTAGATATTGTGGAGCATTTCTCAAATCTCTCATTTTCAGTCAATTATTTTTTTCACTGGAAACAAATATACATTATTTACTCATTGTTTTGGGGCTTTCTAGATCCTTACATGTTTTCTTCATTTTTCTTTGCAAAGTTTCACGAGTAGCATTAATCATACAAAGTAATAGCACTAAACCCACACAAATCTAGAACTTAAAAATACTAAATCTTTGCTGTTGTTTCCTTGCAGATATAAATTTAGCACTGGTTCCTGAAATTAAATGAGTTTTAGACTTTCTGATTCCAAATTATTTTAGTAATGGAAAAGCTGCATAAATACTAGGCTTCTCAGGATGATGTAAGCTGATGAGCATAGCAGAGCTGAAATGAAGAACCTGAGACTTCTGTTTTCTGCTTTTAAAGCCCTGTATGGTTCTGCAACTTTGTGATGCATATTTTTCATGTTCAGATAAGTAATTGCACTTAGTAGAACTTAATTTAATTTTTTACATTTATCATTTGGCAATAGTGTTCCACTGATATCAAACTTTAGAGTTTGGATGTGTTTTAAAATAACCCATACAGTAACTTTGTAATCTTTTTTCCCCTTTACCATCAGATGGAACTTTTAGAAGAGAAAAACATAGTCAAGGCTCAGTGTCGACAGCTGGAAAAAATAAAAGTTGAGTGTGATAAATTGACAGAAGAATTAACCCAAAATGAGGAAGAAAATATAAAACTAAAACGGAAATGTGAGTTTGTAAAACAAGAACTGGAGAAAAAGGTAAAATTAACTGATTTTAACCATGATTTGTTTCTCTGCTGATAAATACCTAATATAAGTGATGAATTATAGAAATAGATGGTAAACCTAAAAAACCCGAGCCTGTATGTATTAAAGAATACACCCAGTTGTGCCACAGTACATGGTTTCTTTATGAATGAAAGAAGACAAAAATGCTTTGGCTGGATTATGAATGGTATCCCTCCAAAGATTTGCTTATATTATTTAGGACTAGAAATATAAATCCTTTTACTTGCCTGATGTCTAATGTAGGTAACCAACAAATGTTTAATCAGCTACTTCTAGTTTTCTTCATATTTTTCTTCAAGATGCAGTGGAACTGTGAATAATTTAGAAATAATTTGAAGTAGATATGCAATGTAAGCATAGTAAAAGAAATTCTAAGTAATGTTGGGGTGGAGGATTTTTGGTTTTATGGGATTTTCTTTTATAGTATAGAGTTAGAAAAATGTTAAATTTGGCATTTCTTTAGCTTGCTAAACTATCAGGAAGTGGTTTAAAAGCTCAACTTGTCAGACTAGTAAAAAGTACTTAAAATGAAAATTCAAAAATGTGTTTTTTCTATGTTGGCATTTTAGTTGTATAATATCTATCGTTAAGAAAATGTGTTTATAGGAATGTACATAGGCTTCTGTAGTCTGTTGTGTATTAGCTCCAACCTTACCTAATATTGGGAAGACACTTTTTGAATCAAAATAATCTTTTATCTCTAAATTGAAAAAGATCAGAGAAGGTTTTAAGCATGCAATCCTGTGGTCTCAACTTTTGCAGGTAAAGGCAGATGGAAACTTCTATTAGCTTGCATTAATGGTTAACTTAAAAGAATAGTTGCTATTTTGGTTTTGTGGATTGTCAAAAGGGATGTTAGGATGGGGGAAATAATATTACCTCTTCAGAAACCTCATGCTAGCATACAATTGTGGCAACACAGCAGAAGCTTATTCTGTTACAGAGTATTTTATTTCTTTTCCATGCTTTTTATACTTTTAAAATTCTGTTCTTAATGCAAATACTAATTCAAAGGGGCACAGGTATTATAGCTAGCTTAGATTTTTTTTTAATGAAAGGTGAAGGAGCAGAGCATAATGGTTGGTTTCTTTCCTTTTCCTTCTGTGCACTTCTGAGTCATTAGTGACTTTTTTTCTCCTGTAAGCTCTGAATGTAGAATGATAATGAATGTTGGCACATTCAGAAAATCAAGCAGATAAATAAAAAAATAAAATTATGTGTTCTATTTTAGTCATGATCTTTGGGAATGAACTTTGATGTGTTGGAATGCATTCAGTGAATAGTGGGGTAACAGAATACAGATACTGGTAATATATGCAGTGCAACCTTATTGCTTTCAGAATACTAGTCTAGGTCAAAACTACTATTTCAACTCCCATCTTTCAACACCCATCTTTATAGTACAGAAATACTGGAATCTGTCCATCTTAAAAAATCTTATGACTTCTTCAGTTTGAATAACTACTGTCCCAAGTATTTTTGTACTAGTTAAGTGAAAAAATCAGACTGCTTATCAAGTATTGGTGTTTCACATTTGTAGGCCACCTACATTAAAACACCTGTTTTGGTAGTAGAAATAAACACCTATACGTATATATGTATACAACCTGCTGAAAGGAGATAGCAAGGTGGATGTTGGTCTTGTCTCCTAATTAGCAATCAGCAAGTGATAGGACAAGAGCAAATAGCCTTAAGCTGTGTCAGGGGAGATTTAGATTGGATATTAGGAAAAATGTATTCAGGCATTGGAGCAGGCTGCTTAGGGAAGTGGTTGAGTCACCACCTCTGGAGGTGTTCAAAAGACATGTACACGTGGTATTCGGGGATATGGTTTAGTTTTTGGCAGTATGAGGTTTTTAGTTGGACTCTGTGAATGATTCTGTGATTCCATATATATCCCATTCATGGAACTTGGGTGTTAGACATTACCTAACTCTGCATTGGTGTCTCATAAGAGCAGTGTATGAAGACTTCTAGCAAATAGACTTCAAACAGTTGTACCATTGTGGAGGTCCACAATTAATAAATTTTTGAAATCCTTGCTGTTCTCACCATTCTTGGTGCAACTCACAGTTAAAGTGTTTGCCCTTTGCTGCATTACATCCTCCTGATCTCAGCAGCAGACAGGTGTGTTTCCATTTGACTTATTCTCAGAGGATAGGTTTTTCTATATTATTTATAATGCATAATTCAATATTTTGTGTAATCTAGCAGCAGTTTTGCTTGATTTTATGGCGGCTCTATCATAGATATAAAAGAAGATAATCTGAATTTTAGAAACCTGTAATATATTTAATCAACTTTCTGACATTAGCTGATAACGTAAAACACTTTCCTCAGTGCCACTCACTCTCCTATGAGATATTCTTTGAGTAGTTTTCCTTGGAGGGCACACTGACTGCAATAAAATTTTCCTTCTGGGATCTCTCTTCTGACGGTAGAGATTACATGCCTACAACAGATTCAGGGCAAAAGATAATAATGGGAGTATTTAGTCTGGGCTCTTTTTCTACTCATGAGGAGATTTGTATTAGAACATCTATTTTTGACTTTGAAAATAGGCTTTATGATTGTTGAGTTTGGATTTGGTAGCAGTTTCTTCATAACTGATTTACAGGATAATGAGGAGAACCAAGGGAGGAACTTACAAGTGCTATTAGAAGGTATTATTTTTCCATGGCAAGCAGTTGAACTTAGCATGACTGAGTATGGTCTGATTATGAGATTGAATGATACATGGCTGATGACATGTATTATTAATGCAATTACTTAACTTTGTTTTGTTTTTCCTTTTTCACTCCAGGAAAAACAGATCAGCAATGAAGATCATTTGAGAAAGATGAGTGAGGCCAGACTGCAGTTTAAAGATCAGCTACGTCAATTAGAAATGGAACAGCAATCCATTCTCTCCATGATAGGAAGTGAAATTGATGCTGCTTGTGAAATCTTTTCTCGGGACTCCATGGAGAAATTCAAAGTAATTCTAAATTTTAAGTGTGCTGCAGGTTTTGTTCTTTTCTTGATAAAAATTTGTTTATCAATTGTTATAAAAAATTTGTTTATCAATTGTTATCAAAAAATTGTTTATCAAAAATTTGTTATCATGCATTGTTTTCACTGTTGCATAGATAACCATTCTGACAGAATTATGGGTATTTAGCTGGTACAGAGGGACGTTGCTATGTATTATGGGATACTATGAAGGACTGTCCATGCACTAGTTGGTACTACTTCCTTTTTTTTTTTCTTTTTTGAGAAATAGTTCTTTTGTTTCTGTGAAAGGACCTTTTAATAGCCAAAGTTTTGAGGTAGGTTTTCTTAGGCCACGTTCCTAGAATTGGGAAATCCTTAAGAAGGGCCTAAAATGCTTTTAAAACTGGGAGAAAATGAAAGAAATTTTTTTTAAAAAATCACTTGGATGCTTTGTTTTTTTATGTAGAGAACTGAATACTGAAAATGGAAAGAGTTTATACCCTCCTCTTTTGAGGAGCAGGTCCTTGTATCCAGAAAACTCAGACTCAAATTTTCAGGAAACTGGTAGCTTGCTGGAATTTTTATTTTGCTACTTCTCCTGCAACCCCTGTCTCCCTGTAGCTTTTCTTCTGAGCATTCTCATTTGCTCCCCAAGTACAGAAACCAGTCTTGCTCCCTCCATATGATTCTACATGACTGATCCTCTTAAGTCATCATTGTACATTTCTGAGAATAGTGAGAACAGACTGTCTGACTCAGCTTGTCGCCACACTTACAAGTGCTTGACCTAGTGGCTTTTTGGCCTTAGCTACAACCCAGAGTACATTCAGATTACATATTTTTTTGTGTCTTGCTGTTTAAACAGAAAATACTTTGTAGCTCTTGGTCATTTGACTGGGCTGCTTTTGAAATAGATTTTTTTTTTTCACGATTGACACCATTTCTCCACTTATACATGGAGTTGGGGTATTGCAGCACAAAACTAGATGAGAATTCTAAGAAAATGTATTTGACAAACAAGCTTTCTCCTCTGTATCCTTAAAGATAGGTTTTTTTTTTTTATTAAGTTTTATAATCTGCTGTAGTTGCCAGATTTTGGATCATTGAACCATGCCTTCTTGGACTTGTTGCTCACCTTGTGAAGATTTTTTGGTTTCTGGATAAGGTTTTGCAGATCCCTGTTTATGCAATTCTACTTGGTTTCTTATTGCTGGCCAACTTAAACCAGTTCTGAATGTGAGTTTTTGACTAGACAGTTAATGTGAAAAAAAGTTAGTTTTGTGGTCCTGGTATGAATTTTTATTTTTTTTAAAGATAAACGTCTTCTTTTATAATATTGTTCCTCTGCCTAGTACTTCAGGTTTTGCTAAGGTTTCTAAAAAGTTTCACCATTTATTTCAAGAAGTTGCCACTGCAACTTGGGTAAGCAGGAGGAATTTGATGGATAAATATTTGTATTGAGAGAAGTCAAGCACTAGGCTTAATCTTCCTTGATAAGAAATGTATTTCTTTGATGAATTTCCAGTAAGCAGAAAAGACTTTCTTCCTTCTATGCCTAATTTCCGTTTTATGTCTGTTTCTTTGTCACCTGCTTTTTCATAGGCAATAACCCTTACACCAACAGTACTGAATGATCCTCATCGCTGGTTAGCAGAAACAAAGGTAATGGTCAAACCTCCTGAAATTTTACTGAATAAGCTAATATTCAGCATTTGATGATGTAGTGGGAGGTGTCCCTACACATATTAGGGAGTTGGAACTAGACTTAACGTCCTTTTCAGCCCTAACCCTATATTACACTTGAGTGAGGGGGTGAGTCTGTGAACGGATGGATCTGGTTTAGTCAAAAGTCCATTTAAAATGGCACTTCAAGGGTAATAGAAAAAATACAAAAGCATTCCTTTGGCAATTATTCTGATATTTCCAGACTTTTATTTCAACTGATAGAATAATTTTCCAAATGTTTCTATCAACAAGAAATAGCCATCTCTATAGCAAAATAAATAGCAATGTTGTTTTCACAAAAAAAAAAAAGGCATTGAAGTAAGAGCAGTGATAGCCTTTAGATCTGGTTCAAATTTTTTGAGTAAAGCATGAGAATGCTCTAGTCAGCAGGTTAAGTTTCTCTTACAGCATTATCACAAGGCTAGAAATTATTTTAAATAAGGCTGGTATTTGTTCACTCTAAAATATATTAGATTGGATTCTTGGAAAATGAATGATTTTTCTTTCCCCATTGAATCTTTCAAATCCTATAATATGGGGGCACACATGCTTGAGAACATCTTCGAGGTGATGACTGTAACTCATAAATCTTGCCTTTCATTTTGCAGCTTTCCTCCAGCTCCCTTAGCTCATACACATAGCACACTTCTTACCCAATATCTTTTAAAAGTACTAAATTTCTCATGATTAAAATTTCTCATAAACTGTGGAAGACAACTGGTGGTTTTGCTTCACATAGAAAGGTCAAAGCCACAGGAGAATTGACTTAAGGAAAAAAAATTGCAAATGTTTGCATGTAAGAGATTATTCATGGCATGTGGTCTGTGTAAGACTTGTAGACCAAGAAAGACTTCCACCATAGATAACAGAAATAAGATTGGAATCAAAGGAGAAATGTTACGGAGGAAGTGTTTTCTTCATTTGAAAAAGTGACGCTGACATATTATTAAAAAGAACTTTCAAAGACCACCTATTAATACTTTGCAAATCTAAGTTTGTTTAGCTGCTAGAGGGAAGTTTAGAATGAACGACTGCTTAAAGTGCCACTTCTATTTTCTTTTGTTTTTAAATCCTGTGTGAGAGTTTCCATATTGTATTCCATTTCATCACTTCTAGATTTACTAAATTGATCACAGTCTTATCAATGAGATCTTTTTCTCCTCTGAGAACCTTAAATATTGACTTTTGCTGACTAGAAAGGATTGATGTCACTTTTTTAGAAAGGGGAAATATTTTTAAATTCTGCCAACATTAAAATGAGAGAAAAAGGTACTCTGAAAGGAAGGCCTATCTCTTGGTGTCTATGTGTGCACTAATTCAATGTGAATTTCCATATCTACCCTAGCAAATTCATGCTTCTGATTTAAAAGAAATAAAATAATATAAAAGAAAATCACTTTTCACATATAATTATCAACCAAAATATGTCCTTTGGGTCTCTTGAAAATCAACTTATGTTCTTTTAATATATCTGAATGCCCTCTGTTATTATTGTTCAGATAGCTACAAATGAGTAATCTGTGACTCCAAAGATCATTTGGTCAGTGAACATTTATGTCCTCTCATTTTTATTAGAATTCTTTACTTTTTATTGTACCTTTTGTTTTAAATGTAGACTAAGCTTCAGTGGCTCTGTGAGGAGGTAAAGGAAAGAGAAAGTAAGGAAAAAAAGCTGCGATGCTACTTGCTGCAGAGCCGAGAACAGCTCAAGCACTTTACACAGATAAAGGAGACTGAACATCAGTCTCTCTTTAAACAGATAAAAAACCAGGAAAAACTTTTGGAAGAAGTTCACAGAGAAAAAAGAGGTATGTTACGGATTCCTTTTTTGTTAATAAAAGGGATAAAGAATTTAATACTCTATTAATTATAATTTCCATGGCACAGTCATTTTATCAACTAATTATTTCAAACTGCAATGGGCTAGTGCCAACCAAGAATAATGTTTTGTTTGTGGTTTTTTATTTTCCCTTGCTGACAAAAAAGGCAAATGCAATCAGCTATGTTTCAAACCCATACAGTGGCTGAGTAACACACGAGTTTACATCATGCACAGTGGATAGAGAAATGATTTCCTAGCTGTACCATCTGGGACATTGCACGACCTGGGCAAAAAGAGATTATACAAGAATCTGAGGCAGTCTGAGTTAGACTGCTATTGCATAGCTCACTGTGTCATGGTACGATCTTTCATTGTATTCTGTTCCCTCAGTTTTGGAAGAAAGGTGTCACCTTTTAGATTTTCTTCAGAAATCTTGTTCCGGCCTTTATTCAGGACTCCATACTGATAGAACTGGGCAGAATAAGTATTCTCTTTCATTATTTTGTTCGTTGTCACTTTGTGCTGATTAATGTAGATTCAGATAAGTGTAAACTTTTAGTAAATGTAGTTACAGCTTCTAGCAGTTGACTTATTGAAAACGTTTTGTGAATTGCAACAAAAAAACAAAACTGCTTGGTTTTGGCAAGAACAAAGTTAATTCTCTTCCTAGTAGCTGAAACGTGCTGTGTTCTGGTTCTAATATGGATAGTAATGTTGAAAACACACTGATGATTTAGTTGTTACAATCTAAGTCAAGCAGTTTTCAGTTTTCCATGCTCTAATAGTGAGATGGTCTACAAATAACTGCAAGGGAGCATGGGCAGGCCAGGGGAACTGGCAAAGGTATATTCCATGTATTAGACTATTATTCCCAGTGTACAAACACAGGAGAGTTTGGGAGGAGCCAATCACAGCTGGAGAAGGGGCTGGACATTGCTTGGTGGTGAGCAGTGATACTGTACATCACTTGGGTTTTTTTTAATTTTATTTCTATCTTTTTTGACATGTGCATGTCATGACAGTGCATGTGACAGTGTATGCAAGAATAATGGATTTACAATCTCCATGTGAATTTAATTGGTTTGTTTTACAGTCATGTCAACTTAGATTTTTCTTTTTAATTTGAAAATTATGATCTTCATCATACCAAACCAGTTATTTTTCAGAAGTTGCAGAAGGTAGAGAAATAATGGAATGCATATCTGTTCATCTGAGTTTTGAGTACTGTCGTTCACTAAGGGATACATGTAACTGTTTAAAAGGGGTTTTTATTTAAAAAAGGGTGCAAGACAGAGTCTGACTGTTTTTATAATTGGAGCGAATACTCTTACATACTGAGAGAGAAGCCCAGCCTTGATTATGAAGCAAGTAATACAAGAATGTAAACATGTAAATAGTTTAATGGATAAATGACTTGAACATGAAATTTGGAAAAGCTACTTTCCCAGAGGGAAAAAAGAAAACACAGCTAAAAGCATAAAAAAGGTGTTAAGCCAAAAGGAGAAAGCAATCCATCAAAATGATAAAAAATTTAAATTAAGGATACAGAATGCTAGTTGGCTTTTCTTACTTAAACATAAAAAATGGAAGTATTTACACAATACGAAGGCACTCAGTAATGAAATTACAGGCAAATCCCAGGTACAGGAATAAAGCAAATGAAGGCAGAATGTATTTAATTGATTAAAAAAGCCCTTCACTTTATTTTTTTAAACACCAAAGTATCCTTTAAGGTATGGCTAAATAGAATAGATATGAAGTCAAATTTGATCAAATGGATGAAAATATTTTCTGTTGCAATGATGTGGATTTTAGATGGAGCGTTTTATCAGATTCTGTGATAACCATGAATATCCATGGATGTGGTTGACTGTCCCCCCTGACACAAACCACTTATCTAAGTACCTGATATAGTCTGAAAATAGTCCATTAATTTAAGTTCATATAAATCAAAACTTAGGAAAATGAGACAGAGAAATTGTATTCTCAAGAAATTGATTTTTAAATTTCCTTTCTGTGGATCTGATGTAATTTATTTATGGAGATTTATGGGGAGAAAGAATAAAAATAGAGATTTATGGTGGACATATCAAAAGTAGGTGGCATAAATATTTAAATTGCTTTGTTGATGAACATGTTTAAGGAAATTTTATTAGCTTAAATAGATTTACTAAAACTTTTATATATGTATTTTTTTGTCTTTTCTCTTCACCAAGGCATTTGTAAATAGCTGGGATATTGTAGGGTTTTAAAACCTACTTACAAATCTCTGTAGAAGTGTTAACATTATCACAGTGGTACCTGTGGTGATATAAACTGGCTGTCCATGTGGTATAATCCTGACAAATGCAAGTAAGCTAACACAGAGAATCATCCATGAGAGAATATGAATGAAGCAAAATGCAGTTGTGAAGCACAGAGTTTCAGGATTGATTACAGAATAGCAGAAGTTTCATAGTTATCTGGAGATGCTTCAAGATCAGCTACATTTGTCTTCTATTCTTGATAAGAGTATCATGATGGTAAGTTTAGAAATTCAGAAGTCTAGCAATATTTATAAATACAGAAGAATTGAAGAGGATGTGACTTCTGATTTCAGGTTTGCAGATTGGTACTTTGGATGCAATTCACTACTTAACAAGGTATTTATCTAGCATGCTACACAATGGGATATTTCAGTAACAACCTGGATTCTGTGTTCATCTTGGAGTGATTTTGGTCTTAGAATCAAATTTATTGCACTAGGTATTCAGTATGTTAAGGAAATAGACAAAGGTCTGAGGAAATAAAATGCACAAGTTCCCGTTTCTTAACTAAGAAATTAATTTGCATTCTGGAATCACTGAGCATGTCATGGTGTTCTTAAGAACAATTTAAAAATTAGTTTAGCTAACAAGAATTTTATTTTTATTATTTTTTTGAATGCCATTGTCAGCAATTGTACCCAAGACCTAGCACAACTTTCTTTCATTTATTGTATTTCTATATGATCTAGCCAGATGGTGTAGTCTGAAAAAGCTCATCATTCAAATCAGTGAAAGTCTGTATTTGATCCTGGGTGGACCCAATGGTTTTATAAACTCAGATATACTTTAATTGCCTTTCCAAGAAAATCTTGGAATATATTGATATGTACATAGGTAGACATAATATGTTATATAGTGGTGGACATGAAGTCTGCACAGTTCTCTTGTTTCAGGATAATATACTGCTACTTCAGAGAAGACACAGACAGTCAACAAATAAATGTTTAGCAAAATAAGACCTGACATATTTGGGAAGACCATATCTGTTCCTTTTTTAATGAAACAATGTTAGTATGGCTGTAGTGATGTAAGAAGAGGATTGTAAGAAGTGCATTGCTTGCATTTACATGACTGATTTAATTTATCTCAAAATATTCTGCAAAAACTGTTTTACACCAAGTCCCAGTGATGCAGGACGTATTCTGTATCAATTCTCAGTGTCTACTGGAATAATGCTCTACAATCACATTTGAATTATTGTATATTTAGAATCTCTTCTGTAGGTATAACATTTATACCTATACTGCTATGTATATATATATATGTGTGTATATATATATATGTATATTTATACTGCTAAGTAAAGCTTAGGAAGTTGACAGCTGTAGTCCTGGGCTGTGATAGACTAATGTTAGATGCCTTTGTCACAAGTACAAAACTGTTCTGGGCAAATGTGTGGTGTTTTTCTTTATGTATTGAGTTTATCACTCATGCATTTGTCACAGTGCATTGTCTTATATTTGAGGATACAAAAATCCAATTTTGAAAGACTTATATTTTAGCTGGTTTTAGTGGTGGTGTCAGCTCTATGAATCATACAGTTACCTTTAGTTTCGTCACTTTAAACAAGTAAAATTTGTGAAGATTTTGGGAAGTGATTCCTGAAGCAAGACATCAGTTTATTTTGATTTCTTTTTTTTCTGTTAGGCTCAGACAGGATTATCTGTTATTCAACTGCTGTGGATAATGTAAACTCAAAAGAGCCTGGTATATTAAAGTAGATTAAAAATGTAGGTAAAACCTTGCTTTGACAAAACCTAATCTTTCAAATTATATTTCTGTTTTTTCTGTTTTAAGTCAGGAAGTCCAATTTTTGTTTGAGCACAGAACACTAAAGCAGAAAGAGTAAAGATTTAAAATAAGAAACAGTATAGTACATTGAATGCTAATATACTGACACTGAGCAATCTCTGCTATTAAACTGAGGAACGGGATGAGATTGGAAACCTGTGAAAATCAAAACAGTGTAAAATCTTTCTATTATGACCTACTGTGTTTTATTACATAGTAAAGTACATATGCTGTTTTGAAGACAACTTTAAGCCTGAATCTGCCCTTTCAGCTTTGATCCTTTCTTTTTTATTAAATTTCTTTTTCTCATATATTGCACGATATTGCCCTTGTATGAACAAGAGTCCTTTCTGTGGCGACAAGAAACATCACAAGGTATTTTCAGGTCATCTTTTATTGAACAGTGGATGGGAGCATCAACTAGAGAGAACACTCTTTTAAGCATACATACAGGAAGGAATCTGAAGGATTTCAGAGAAACTTTTCATAGTACTTGGTTTTCATAGTGAGCTTCAAAATTCATAAAGTTGAAAATCATTACTGTTGAAATAATTTATTTCTTCTTAATAGTGTTCTTGCCCTTTAAATAATGCTTGGTTTTTTTAATGTGATGGGGGAAGGAGGAGGGAGGACTTCTAAGTTATTTTTAAACTTTGCCAAAATGAACCTGCGTTCAGAGTCTTAGAAGAATAGAAATAAGCCCAAATCATTTAGAAATCCTGCCCTGTGGAATTTTTTAAATCGGAAAACTGGAAATAGACATGCATTGCTGTAATTATTTATTTGTTTTCTGGAACCATTTTCATTTGACATTATCTTTTTATGCACTCATAAAAATATGGCTGCCATTGTAAAAAAGAGAAGGTAAGAGATGGGATCAAACTGTACC